CATCAATAAAGATGGACGTTGACTAACGGTGGAATCCAGGACGCATGTCTCGTTTCATTTAAGACTCGTCAGCTGGATTAAATGATTCATATATATATATGAATATTCTTCAATATTTAAACGAAATAGTATGACAGGAATCGGACACAAACAATGAACAATAAATATGAATATTGGCAAGTTGAACTAACTGCAAATGTTTTCATTTTAACATTAAATCGATGCAGAATTACAGATAAGAGAATAATTCAAATATAGTGAAATGAATTTATAATTTTTTCAGTGGACTGGTTCTTTTCTTTTCTTTTTTTGGTTTCTAGAAGTTTCTGTCAGAATACTTTTATATCTCGTCATCGATGATTGTTATGTCGGAAAACGCTAATCACTTATACTCGGAACGAAGGGACCTCGGCAATTCCCACGACGCGAAAGTAAGAACACAAAAACTGGTATAAGTGATTATTTATTAGCCTCAAAACATTATGACGACGATGACCCTAGTCTAAAATACACTCATTTACATATTGATTGTACACCCATTTTGATTATTAATTAGGATTAAATCACATACTCAGTTATAACAAATCACATACAGAGCATAGTTCATATCAATGGAATACAAGAATATCGTATATTATAGAGAATAAAAAGATCATACGAGGAAACAAAAACGAATACTCTACTGAATGATCCTCACGTTGAATAAAAATGGATGTTGAATGTTGAACAAAACTCATCATGATTAAATCAATCTAAGATTGGCTTTTCTTTCCATCATATCAAATACATAGGGTACAATGACATAATAGAAACTTGAAGTTACCTATTTTATAAGTTTATACTTCGTTCAATTTCTGCATATTGTGTCTTTTACTTCATGAATGTTCTGGAGATTATGACATTTATGACATAACGTGTCATAAATGTAAACAAAACACAATTGATATAACCGGTTAATTAACGTTTGTCAGAACTTTAAATGAATTACATAAAACACCTAACAAATGACAATTGCTAAAATAACTCCACTTGGAGTCCCTCCAGGGGCTACTGCCGGTCCCAAGCTCGGATAATGGAGGAGGGTTGGATATGGGGTTAGAGACTCCATCCCGTAGAAAACTGACTCGATAAAAAACGCTAACCAGAAAAAATGATTCATACCATTTAAACTCTGTCCAGTGAGTCAGTAGGTCTTCATTTAGAAAAGTTATGATGCCTCATGATGAAAGCCGACTTCCTTCGGAAGTCACGAGGCCGATACCCTCTTCTGAAAAACAGAACAACCATTTATTTAAGTCCTTCTTATGAATAATATTATCTTATTACCGTATGTTAGTACTCGTAGCGTCTTTATCAGGAAATGATGATAGTTACTATGTAAATAAGAATTTAGTATTTGTATCAAATGATAATAGTTCAGTCCTTTATATTTACATAAGATTTTATAAAGTAGATAATAATTTATTAAACATGTTTAGAAAATTTCAATAGTTGAAATTATGAGTCAATTGAAGTTAGACCAGCATTGAAAATTTGGAATCACTGAACGAAGGTTTCGTCCTAATATGAAACTCCTCAACAACAAAACAACCTTCTGATATTTAGAAAAGATTGAAATTACGAAGTAGACAATGAATATCTTCAATGGTAAACACAAAAAAATTTACAATAATGATGAATAAAATTATTGACATGATTAATTTCTATGAGTAACAATTTTTACGATTCACTTTAAAATAAACATCATGAAACCAATAGCATTATCATGAGATCAGAAGGACAAGAATTTGTGTAACATCCTATGTAATGTCCATCTATACTGATGAATTGGCTGTTAGTCTCTCTATGTAAGAATTAAAGCCTTTTTTTTAAAGATTCTTGTGCCCTTGAAATCAATTGTATGACCTGATTTTATTGAGTGTAATGCTATTGCTGATTCGTTCTCGAGTTTTCTTACATCAACTGAAGATTGAGGAATGTGCTTTAAGCATAGTTGTTATTTCTTCACCTTCACATTCAGTTGCATTGATGTTTCATCTATACATTTTTTGTTACAACACCATATGTCTCATATTACACTAAAACAAATACCTACTTTAAACATTATTAACATTCATTGGATGATCTATTGAGTCATACAGTGAACCGGAGAATCAAATTGCCACGGAAAACGTTAGATTTACTTCAAATTCATTCGTTGAGATTTTCACAAATACAACATTCTTCCTCTTTAATGTTTCACATTAACTCAACGCTCAAATACTGTGAAACTATTCGATCAAATTTAGACAAAAATTCTTATTCATTGAACAATCGTATCAAATTTCAGAGTCATTGGCAAATGGTGTGATTATGAGTAAAATGTTTCTTCATATATGTTAATAAGATTATCTAACTAAGACTATTTAATTATATGCTATTTGTTCAGGCTATAATCTCTACAAAACCCATCTAATATTAATCAACATATGCTCACTAGTGACTGGCTTCATGAGGTATATCCTGGAGTTCTAGTGAGAAGTAGTGACCAGTGGAGTTCAACCAGATCTGTTGTGAGATAGTAATTCACTGAAGACAATGGTGGATGGTGTCGCTCAAATTCATGGATTAGTTGAAGTTAAACATTAACACCATTGGATGCCGGCTCAGTGGTCTAGTGGTTAAGTGTTCGTGCTCGAAACCAGTAGGTCTTGGGTTTGAATTTCATGAGCGGCGGGAGGGATCGTGGATGCGCACTGCTTAGAAGTCTCACAATAGGACGAAACGGCCGTTCAGTGCTTCCAGGTTTTCCATGTTGGTCTAGCTTCAACTGACTCATGATCTTAACCATTGAAATTACTATAATCTCCACAAAACCCATCTGATATCTTGATTTAATTTGCAAATCTATTAGGACATCAATCAACAAATCTCAAATGAACAATTAGTTTTGATATTGAAAACATTCACTTCAGATATAACTAATGATTATCAGATTTAAAGTTAATATCATTGATTCACTAGCATAACACAATATAAACAGTTTAGAAAGATAGTTTAGAATAACTATGATCAATAGTTCCAGATTAAAGTAACAGATTATCACAATTTTTACAAACTTATACAGTTTCAATACATAATCTTATAATAATAAATAATAAGTTCAATAATTCACGACTTATATTGGAAGATTAAACAGTTAAGTTGACCATTAAAATATTGATCATAATTCGATCATAAATCAAAATCGCTTATGAACTCAGTTTGTAATACTTCTTAGTAAAACTATTACTAACTATTTTCATTCGTTGAATAGGTTGTGAACTTTTGTAAGATATAACGATAATTTCAGTGGTTGAGATCATGAGTTAATTGAAGTTAGACCACCATGGAAAACCTGGAAGCACCAGATGGCTGTTTCGACCTATCGTCGGAACCCTCAGCAATGCACATCCACGATACCCCGCGTCGCGAGATTCGAAACCAGAACCTATCAGTCTTGCGCACGAGCGCTCAACTTCTAGATTAGTGAGCTGGCCGACACCCAATACCGTTAATGTCTAACTTCATCCAATCCACGAAATTGAGCGACACATCCATCATTTTCATCAGTGAGTTACTTTCTCACAACAAACTTGGTTGAACTCCACTGAACACTTCTTCCTACTAGAATTCCAGTAAATACCTCTTGGAACCAATTACTAGTGAGCATATGTTGATTAATATCAGAATGCGTACTGGTGTGGAGTCTTACAATAGAACAAAACGGCCGTCCAATGGCTTACAAGTTTTTCAAGGTGGTCTAGCTTCAATTCCCTCATGATCTGAACTATTGAGATTACCATAATATCGACAAAAACCCTTTTAATAGCGATAATTTCCAATGTATTTAATCATTTATATCAAGCGTACAAATGTAATTACATTTTGATTTAAGGAATAAAAATACTATAATTATTTCAACAAATATAGGGATACTTATAATATAAGTAGATTGGAAGTTTCAATAACACTCATACTTCTATTTGATATAAACTATCAGAGCTTATCAAACAACTGATAATATACACAATGGGAATTCATTTGAACATAAAGTAAAATAAAGTAGTCATAAAAGATAGAATTCACTTGGTGTTGTTTTACTTGTATCTTCCGATTGCTTTTTAGAATTTCAAATGATCAGTCTCATGTTGGCATATATGCATCCTGTGCATATTTATTTGATATAGCCTTAAGTGATAAGCTTTTTAAACAAATATGGATAGTGACTAGTAAGGCAAAACGGGAGTCTTAGATTCCACTGCTAGTCACTATCCATCTTTGTTCAAAAGATAGAAATTTCAATAGTTGAAATCATGAGTCAATTGAAGCTTAACCTCCATGGAAAATCTGGAAGCACGAGACGGCCGTTTCGACCAAGTATGAGACTCCTCAGCAGTGCGCACCCACAAGTATTGGTTGAAGTTAAACATTAACACCGTTGGATGGCAGCCAGTTCAGTGGTCTAACGTTTAAGCGTTCGCACACGAGGTTGATAGATCGTGGGTTCGAATCTCACAGGGGGGGAGCAGGATCGTGAATCCCCACTACTAAAGAGTCCTATCATAGAACGAAACGGCCATCCAGTGAAACATCCAGGTTTTTCATGATGGTCTAGCTTCTATTGACTCATGATTTCAACGATTGAAATTTCTAAAATCTTCACAAAACCTCTTTCTGATAATCATGTTATACATGAACTATATTATCAATAACACACATAGAAACAGATAGAATATATATATATATATACAATTATAAAACATCATACTTTCCTATAATGATTTCATTGCTTATTTATTTATATATCAAACATCAACATCAACATCATCATTAATGTATCCCAATTAATGAATAATGAAACAATAATTAATTCATTAATTAAATCAATAAACAAATAAACAATCATGAAATAATCAATAAAAAATAAAAAAAACAAAAAACAAAAGAGAAAAACCAAAAAAAACAGGGGTGTAGCTCACTTTCATTGCTAATGATATGGTATTAATTAATATAAATATAAAAATGCAATATTCAAATGGTTGTGATGTAATAAACCACCATATTCTATATTGAAAATTTTCTTTTGGGATATAACGTTTCACTGGTCTAGCTTTCAATGCAAATTCAATACATTTACGCTAAATATATATATATAGATAGATAGATGGATATATAGGGAGCGAAAGAGAGAGGGAGAGAGGGGGGGAGAAAAAAGGAGAAAAGGGAATAAGAATTTTAATAGAGAGAATATATATTTTATATATATTTTATTTATACAATTTGAATAAAACAAACCATAGAAACAAGTATACCATATAATACCACTAAAAAAAGTATTAAATGAATCAAATCCTTTAAGTATATATTTTAGATTAATCTTTCTTCATTCGGTATTTTCACTATAGTATGTGGTTCAGGTTGTTGTTTTATAATATTCGATTCATTTTCCATATAATTTGGTTGATATATTCCATGGGATGCACGACGTTTTTTTAACCAACGATATAAATAATAACCACCTATAATTAATCCAATAATAATTAAGATTGGTATAATTATTATAACAGCTAATAAGCCTGGACTAAATTGATTAGGTTTTATTTCTTCAATCATTGATGTACTACTATTGGAAGCATTCAATGATGATGATGATGATGATGATAGATCACGTCTTACACGTCTTAATACAACATCACGAACAGAATTAATCTCTTGAATATTTTCAATGAAATAATCATTACAATGAATTAATGAAATACATAATTTTGATAAATCATTTAAATGATTATTATTTAATAAACAAGATGGATATATAGAAGAGGATAATTCACTAAATAATTGATAATCAATATTCCCATTATTCCCATTATTCCCATTATTGATTATTGTCAACATAAATATATATATATAATCTTTCCATTGATATAATGGATATTGAATAGAATAATGATCAAAAGATTGATTTAAATATTTTAATGTTACAAATAATGATGAATATGAATGTGAATGATCTAATTGAAAAATAGCCCATATATTATTATTATTATTATTATTATTATTATTATTAAGATCTAAAATATGATTGGATTTTATATAGATTTTTATTAAATCGATTTGAGATTGATTTATTGATTTTATATTAGGTAGATGTAATAATAAACAAACATTATTGGATGAATGACCCTTCAAGGATGATGATGGGGATAGTGATGAGGGGGATAACAATGATGATATTAAAGAAGATTTGGAATATTTTATGAAATAATCATTTAAAGGAATTTTAATTGATTTTAATGAAATTTTTGGAACTAATAATGGATTATTAAGATGATTATTATATCCTGATAATAATAGTAATATGAGGAATTGTAATAAGATCATTATTTGAATCCATTCCATTATTATGAATAATGATCCTTTATTGATTTGAATGAATTATACTTTTCAATAGGATCTAATTCTATTGAATCTAATTATAATGAATGGATGTTGAGTATAGAACTGAATTAACTTACATGGATAATTGTAAGTCTAATTGAATGGTAATAATAAACATTCCACAGTCAATTCAAGATGATATACTTCATTTCAAATAACTAATCATGCCTTATGATTTGTTATGATTTGAAATGATCGAACAATGTGGTTCTTGTATAATCTGATTGGTTTTTTTTGTTTATGACAATTTGGTATGTTTCGTTTTTATTATTATTCTTCTTCTTTTTCTATGATTAGATTATAAGAAACCTATCACCTTTATTTATTAGGTAGATTGACATAATGCAACATGCATCCATTTGTATAGTCATTAGTTATTCTATAAGCTTATTAGTCTTATTAACCAAACGATATATATATATATATGCTTAAGCACACATACTCAATTTATAAGAAATCATTAGAAAAGTAAGACATACTCTTATAAGACATAAAATGTTAGTTGATATTTGTGTCTATGTTTAGGTGAATTACAATGGTGATTGAAAAAAACTAAACAAAAGAAGATGAAGATAACCAAAAACACAAAATATCAATAGGCACTATGTACTGATTACATAACTAGTTGGGTGAGACCTTGAATAAATTATTTCTTTTGTGTGTGTGTGTGTGTCAATATGACAAAATATAACCAGTTAGCCTCGATATTACCTTCAGTCACAAATTTTATAAGCCAAGATGGATAGTGGCTAGCAGTGAAATCCAGGATGTGAGTCACTTCGTCATATTTGGGACTTGTCAGCTGGATGTATCTGTATCTCAAAGTTGACTCAATAGCTAAGTGGAAAACGTGAAGGAATTTGGAGCGAACGGTTATGCATTCGAGTCCCAGAGTGACGAACATCTTCGATTCCACTGCTAGCCACTATCCATCTTTGAATATTTATCTTTGTCTTAGCTGTATGAATCTTCCCATTAATGTTTTGGTCAATCTTTATTGACATATGTGCATGTTAAACGGATTGCCTTGATATTGCCTTTAGTCAAAAGCGTTATGAGCGGAGATGGTTAGTGGCTGGCAGTGGGATACAAGTTCCACGTTTCACTATCTGCATGTACCTGCATCCGGGTAGATGTTTACCTCGAAAATCAAACTCAGTACAGTTCACTTGAAACTCCATCGTGTTATTCACAATCAGCCACCAACCACTTCTGCTTAAAACACATACACTAATCAGTAATATTGTTTCATTGACTATCACATTAAGTAATATTTTTTATATTCTAGATAGCTTTAACCATTCAAGAAAGTAAACGGATCACTTAGTGTCGTATTTTTGTGACATACAAGTAGTTTTGTCATTCTATGATCATACACAGCACATTTTTAATAACAAATCAAAGTATAGCAACTATGCTACAACCAATTTCGATTATGGTTAATTTTGGTTAAGCACTTTTATTAACTTATTTAACAGACAATTTTATTTGAATAGTGACAATTCGCATATTTCTTTGTGCCGTTATGATCAACTAGAGCACATGACAGACTCTAGATAAATTGTTAATTGCTTAAATATCACTCAACCATTCATCCCTTCATGTATGTATGTACTAAAATCCTATCATTAACCTTTGCTTTGCCTTGCTGTGCCCTTATGCAATTCGATTGTAAATTTACCTATTTATTTGCTCGTATACATTTATTCGCCTATCCGCTTCAAATTCACTCGATATGCTTATAGCTTTGTGATCTGAGCTATCCACTAATACATTATAGTAGCTGTTTCTTATTTCCTTCTGATTTTAAACACCGTTGAGAATTTATATTATAACGATTGTCGAGATGATCGATTAACGAAGTAAAGCCACTAGAAAATTGGTGATCTCAATGTATGAACACGAAACAATTTTCGACGATATAATCTAATTCCAAAAAATCATGCACTTTGTCTCCATTCGGATTATTATCTGAATTATAATTATAGTTGTGAATTTATTATATCAGAAGGGGTTTGTGGAGATTTTTAGAAATTTTCACAGATTGAAATCATGAGGCCCGCGTGGTGCGGGATCGTGGATGCGCACTGCTGAGGAGTCCCATACTAGGACGAAACGGCCGTCCAGTGCTTCCAGGTTTTCAATGGTGGTCTAGCTTCAACTGACTCATGATTTCAATCTGTGAAAATTTCGAAAAATCTCCACAAACCCCTTCTGATAATAATCATCTCCTCACTAGTGACTGACTTCAAGAGATACTCCTGGAGTTCTAGTGGGAAGCCGCTACCAGTGGAGTTCAACCAGATCTGTTGTGAGATATCAGCTCACTGAAGACAATAGTATACGGTGGCGCAACTTCGTGGATTGGTTGAAGTTAGACATTAACACTGTTGAATACCGGCTTCGTGGTCTAATGGTTGGGTGCTCGCGCACGAAGCCAGTAGGTCCTGGGTTTGGGCCCCGCGTGGTGCGGTATGGTGGATGCGCACTGCTGAGGAGTCCCATACTAGGACTTATTATATCACTATTTTAATTACACATGCATTATCTCACAAACATTATTGAACTTTACAGTAATACTCATAATAAATAACGATATTTCACAAATAATTGATATATTGATGCAACTTAGTAAGTACGTTCTATGTTATGAATTGTACCATCTATTATTATCATTGTTTTTGTCTTTAAATAACAACACAACAGACCTTCCACAAATGCCGTCCATGAGATCCAGGCATAACATCACAATAGATGAAAGAATCAATGTGTGATAAAAAGTGATTAATGTTTTATGTCACAAACTGACGAACCGAAATCAGAACAACAAACAGATAAAATGGTTACAAAATAGACCGAAAGACATAAACCGATCTTGCTCTACGAGACTCTTATCACTGACAATATTCTGGTACCATTCAACATACAATAATAGAGCTCGAAAATATCGATCACCAAAACAATTTATTCTCAAGAAAACAAAATAGAATAATTAAAACTTACTTGATTTTTATCAAGTTCACAATTTCTATATTCTTGTTCACCTTCTTGTTGAAATGTGACAATAACAAAACCAACAAATATATTAATCATAAAAAATGCTATAACAATGATATAAGCCACATAGAAGATAACAACTATTGGACGATTATTATAAACACTACCATAATCTTCAGCATAAGAGTCAATTGATCTAATAAAATGAAATAATATAGATCAATAACATAGAATGAATGAATATTGAATAATGGAAATGACTTGATTATTAAAATAACTAGAATTAGAAACTTATTAATGGATCTATGAATAGTTTCTTATCATTTTATTACTATATAGATTAATAAATGTTGAATAAATTCCGACGAAACTATAATTTATGAATGAACTAATCAGATGGTTGAATAATTTTTTTGGGGGGGTTAGCGTTTTTTTAGCGAGTTAGTTTTCTACGGGATGGGGTCGCTAACCCCGTGTCCAACCCTTCTCCTTTATCCGGGCTTGGGACCGGCAGCAGCCACCGAAGGGACTCTAGGCGTCACAAGACAAGCCCTTACATGGAATCCTCAAGACCAAAGAAGGAGAGGAAGACCAAAAAACGTATTACGCCGGGAAATGGAGATAGACATGAGAAAAATGAACAAGAATTGGATGGAACTAGAAAAGAAGGCTCAGGACAAAGTGGGTTGGAGAATGTTGGTCGGTGTCCTATGCTTTATTAGGAGTAACAGGCATAAGTAAAGTAAGTAAGTAAAAGTAATCAGATGATTAAAGATAAAAGGTCTTGAATTTTTGGCACGAAATTCATTGATTCATTTGGTAAAATAGAGTTTTGGCATTATATCTGATGTCAGTTCGTGATGAAAACCCCCCAAATCTAATTCCTAACCACTAACCATCAACTGTAAATTCTAATTCTAATTCTTCACACTGGTTTATCAGCTTCATTTTGTCCTAGTTATTAGGTGTACACTCTCAAGGTCAACTTAATGTTTCTCATAGGCTGTTCATAAATTATAATCTTACCGACATTCCATAATCATATAGGTGAATGTAATTTACATAGGAAATAGGTAGATCGACAATATATAACTGTTTTTCTTATATATTGAACAAGTAATAGCGCAGAGAATATTGTTAGCTATTGAACTTGCATTTTAAACAGCATTCCTTGGTTTTAATTTGAAAAGAAAGAGAAGAGTACCATAAGCTAAATTATTACTATTAAAGTCTCATTATTTTATAAAAGTAATGTAAATTACATCATTGGAAAAGCATCAGCAACAGTCTATGGTGGGAGAGGACAAACCAGCTTCCAGCTGAAGAACTGAGAAAAAGATTTTAGGAGTGAATAGGACATAAATTACGGAAATCACTAAACAACATAATGAGATAAGCCCTAACATTGAATCCTAAAGGGAAGTGGAAAAGAGGAAAGCCGTACAACACATTACGTTGGGAAATAGAAGCAGATATATAAAAAGGATGATTAGTAATTGAAAACAACTGGAAAGAAACGATTGCCCAGGACAGGGTTGAATAAAGAGTGCTAGTGGATGGTCTATGCTACTCCTCGAGGAGTAACAGGCACATATAAGTTTTAAGATTTCGAATTCTTCCCAAAACATTTAATATTTAAAGTTTTTTTTATATCATACAATCAATATATGATAATAGTTTATCTGTCATATTGTCGAAAGTCTCAAGAGTTAACCTAAAATAATGCTCTTCCTAATTGTAATACTTTTTTTTCAAAAGAGTATTGCTTTGTCGCATAACTAACTTTGTCATAGATTGTACTTTGATCAGACATAATTTTTAAAGAGTGATGATCAAATACATTATCCATTTATTCACTAGAATAAAACGTTATTTAGTCACTTAATCACTATGATCAGTATATAAGTCATCTATGAATAGTTCATCTTTAACCTTATTAATCGATCGTCAAAGTAATCACTACATGTGAATTCATTTCATCAAACATCTTATTATTTAACCGAAAGAATCAATGTAAGTAGCTCAATGGAAAATGAGTTTCATCTTAAAATACCTTTTATAGTTGATTGATTTAAGCTGAAAGAACTACTTTATGCTATTCGACATGAGGTATGTACGTGTCATATTCTAATTTCATAACTGCTCAAGATGAATTCACACACGATTATAACAATGATCTTAAATAAACACTTTAGATCTAGTGTTAAGATCATAATGTCGGGGTGATAGGCATATAATTGCTCATGGTACTTACTGTATGATTATCAACGTAAATTTGCTAATGGTTAAAATTTGAAAGGTCTGTCATTGTATTTTGCTTTATAAAAACTGCAGATAACATTGATTTCAGTCGAGCAACTCAAAGTCTGAGGGCGAAGTCGTACTACTGAATGTAAAGGGGTGTGACAACAGTAAGGTGTTTCCCTCGGACAACCAGCATGACAGCGATGCTGCCTTCTCACAAGGAAGGAAGAGGTTAGAAAAGGTCGACTCTAAAAATGTCACACCTTACCTTACCTCACGGGTTTCCGTCTCCAGCGGTAAGGCCCTTTGAAGAACGGAGCTTAAACGTCAAAAATCTCCCACGAAAAGGCCGTGCGCGACCGGCCTCAAGCAGTTGTCCCTTGGGCTCTGCAGTCACGCTCCGGGGTCGTTAAGGCCAACATTAATCCAACTTCCTTTTCAGGTTCCTCAAGAAATACCCTTCCATGGTGTGGGCAGCCGGGAAGTGACACCAGCTCTCATACCCGTAACAGAACACGACTGACTAACTGCAATATACTAATTAGTGACTAAGGGGTACTAAATAGTGTGAGTACGGTCCACGGGTAAACTCGAAGAAGCTGTAAGAACCTCTGAAAGCGCCAAAGATATTCCATCAAATCATCTTTTGGAAGCATATTCTAGAATATCTACTTGTAGCTTCCCGATTGGACATTGCTAATAACCCCCTGTGTGCGGATTGGATAGCTATAATGATGATTTCGTTTTTACTATAAACTATAAGTATCTGACAGTTTTGTACTATAATTTGACACTGTCTAGAATAACATTCCTTTCATTTGTCTTCTTTCTTCTCATTTGAGACTTGGAAGGTTTCTAGCGTTCAAGTGCTCAAGTCATACGCGTCATATCAAGAACACAAGCTCTATTGATTATGACCCTAAATTTTTTTAAATTTCGCTGTTTACCTTCATTCAATCAACATACGGCAGGACTTCCCAATGTCTGATTTTGTAATGAATTTCTTTAAAAAAACACACCCATAATGGAAATCTTTTTGAGGTTTCTTTGCAAGCCGCTCTTGATAAGAAACTAATTACTCTCTTAAAAGACAAAAATAAATACTTTGTAACGCTAAAACCACTCATGTTATGAAGCTGAGTTTCTAGCTTTATCATAACAGTATTATATACGATAATACAAAATTAAATGGTCTGGATCAAAACCTTACGGAACATCTCAAAAATGGACCCTAGAAAATCATTTTATGATTGTGAACTTTAAGAATTTGTAGATTTTGCTAAAAAGTAAACATCTCACGAAGTATGTAAGAGAATAACTTTTGTAAACAATGTTCTGATTATACTTTTCATTATATGCTTGGCTCAAATATCATGTAGTAGTAGTAGTAATAATTATCCTAAGAGTGATCAAAACACTGAAATTCTCGAACATAGTTGCCAAGTCAACGGCGGTCAGGCATAAAATGTATTTCAGTAGAAGATCGATAAGGAAAGAACGGGAACGGAACGCAACTAGTATGAAAATACAGGAACAATGAAATCGGAGACCATGGCTATGATATTTACAAAAGGAACAGTCAAGATTGAGACGATGGATAGATATTTTGCAAATTAACTATTTACTATATGGTTCTCAGATTTTATTGAGATGCTCTGTAATTTCGTGTCCAATATATTCGATTGTCCTAATTTGTGTTCTTGTTCACGACAATACTACTTGGTGTTTTTTCTGCATGAATTAAGTTTATTGAAGTGATCACTTTAGTCGCCTGTTTCAGGTTGATTTATTCAACAACAAAAACGAAATAAAAAGCAAATTAATCATTGTAATAAATATACAAATCTATACTCCTCTATATCTGACTCCAATAAATAACATCCTGTTAACTGAATATTTACGTATGCTGAATCTCGTATTAGTATTATGAATTTACTTGAGACTATTCAAAAGCCAGAACACCAGTTGTAAGTATAGTGTATTGCCAATAACTAATAAAGTCCCCAAGTAACGCAGAAAACAAGCATAGAGGAAAGTGAGTGAGAGAGAGAGCAAAGTGAAACGAACCGTAGAAGGCATGTGAGCATATTCACTTTCACTAAGCGTCAGTTAAAAAAAGATACAGACGTGATGAGTAGAAGATGGGACTATAATTTATGGACGACTTTTGAGCGACGCCAAAGTGACCTTGTGAGTGTCTACCTACTTACTAGGGCTAAATGAGGATTATAAATAAGTCTGAAGAATAAGGATTATGATTCACAGTTGACGGTTAGGGTTAAAAATTAGATTTATGGTTTTTCATCATAAACTGACATCAGCTAAAATGACAAGACGCTATTTGGCGAGATGGATGAGTGAATTTCTTGCTAAAATCCGAAACCTGTTATCTTATACCTGATTGGTTCGTCCATAAATTATAATCTGCTACTAAGCATTGAACTAAAATACAATCTTCAAAAAAGGAAATCATATTAGTCCACAATTCACATAATGAATTTATTTTATGAAAAGGGGTTTGTGGAGATTTTAGGAATTTCACAAACCCCTTCGGATAATAATCATCTGCTCACTAGTGACTGACTTCAAGAGATACTCCTGGAGTTCTAGTGGGAAGCCGTTACCAGTGGAGTTCAACCAGATCTGTTGTGAGATATCAGCTCACTGAAGATAATGGTGTACGGTGGCCCAACTTCGTGGATTGGTTGAAGTTAGAGATTAACACCATTAGATGAAGTCCAGTTCAGCGGTCTAGTTGGTTAAGTGCCTGGCGCGAGACTGATAGGTCCTAGTTTCGGATCCCGCGGGGTGCGGGATCGTGGATGCGCACTGCTGAGGAGTCCCACAATAGGACGAAACGGCCGTCCAGTGCTTCTGGGTTTTCCATGGTGGTCTATTTTCAATTGACTCATGATTTCAATCTGTGGAATTTATTTTAACCTAAATTCCAATTCACCGACTATTATAAATTCTCTATATCACTTGAATCCTTTAGTTTCTAAGTTAACAAACAATCAATCTTGTATTTTATTATATGTAAAAACAAATCGTAGTAATAATTGAATAAACAATAAAACATTACCTATATAAAAGACCAGGCCAACCTTCAAATGTTGATACAGCAAATAAAGTGAGCATAGCATTTGGTACATTGTCAAAATTCAATGGATTATTTAACCATACACGTGCTAAAACTACAGGTCGACTTATATCACCCAATTCATATGTGATATATTGACCACTAGATAAAATTTAAATATAAAAAGATGTATTATTAATTATAGATGAAGTGACATATATCATGAATCAAAATATCGTTGACAGTTTCTGAGGTTAAAAACATGTATGTTTTCCCATTTTAAACAAAAATTAACGTTCAATGATGATCATAGAGAATATTCGTATCTCAGGATGAGGATCATGAAGATGCTTTATTCTCTGAAGTGGATTCATCATTGTTAAGCTTTCATTGTTTTTCTCAACAAAATCATCAGTACAATTTTCAAGAAGAAATGATTCATATGGATTTATGCACAGTCGAATAGCTTCTTGTTCTATTGACCTTGAATTAGTTTGGTTATTGTTGTTGAGTGTGTGGCAGTCGTTTATATGTTAATCAGGATTGTTTCGATATCGTACATAGACGGAAAAAAGTGTACTCTCAGATTATGATAAAAGAACGAAGAGCTTCGAAGAAAGTGAAAATAAGGAAGAACACAATCACAATTCTGGTTGACAAAGAACATAACAGAGAGAACGTGTCAGAAGACTGAAATCAGAAAGTCGAGGATCTATTTAATTACCAAGGTTTATGTCAACCACTGAAAATTAATCCTATCCAAAATGTAGATATCTGAACCAGTAGGACTAAACAAACTTGTCAAAGCTGAACAGATAATAAAACAGTATCAATGGTGAACGAAGCCAAACAGACCTGTATTTCATCGGTTTTATAGCAGATGGAAATTAAACAAGTCAAACATCATCAAAAGAACAATCACCACTGTTAGTGGGACATAGATTGGATTAAAGCATGCTCAGTGCACGATTGCTTTGACGCACGCCGATTGGTCAATTCTTATCCAATCAGCGCTAGTCGATACTTGAGGAAACACTCTAGAATCGTCTCATGTAAAAACTATAAATATACTAACGTTTTTCCCATTGTACTTCTGCTTACTCCCATCTAACCTTGTTATTTGGAATATAATCTCTTTCCTGTTCAACTGTGTTCTGATTGGGGGACTTGTCGAGTGAATTGGTGTCCAAGAATACTAAGCAATAAGAATAGCTGGGCTGTAATAAAAGAGAATTATAACAGCCACACTTTCAGTGACATCTACATACAACCGATCATGAGGATTATCAAAGATATTAAAACATCTGGTTATTTTGCCAAGTTTTCAACACAGTTTTTAGATAAGATCGAAAGTGTCCAAATCGCCAATGACGAACCGATGATATCATTTGATGTCACAACCTTATTCAACTTTGTCGAACAAAATTTAGCAAGAAGTACAATATCCCTGCTCATAATCAATGATATGAACCTCTCAAAACACACCAAACCTCAAAGTAAAAACTGGGTTAATCTCACTGAGTTATGTTTGACAATATATTTCCAAATCAGCGGTCAATTATATATACATATATGGAATTCCAGTGTGATCACTGGTTTCCAGATAAATTGTGGATGCAGTAATGAAGTGGCTGAAAAAGTTAGTCCTTTCGATGATTAAACTAGGAATTTGTCTACGATATGTAGACGATAAGTTCATCATCGTCAAAATACATAGATTAGAAAGATTCACAATCTTATGAACAGCATCTGTGATTGTAAAAAATTAACATTGGAGGTAAAATAAGATAACAAACAACCATTTTTCGCTCTATTTATCACTAGGACCAACACAGGAAAACTGGTGATTCAAGAATACAAGAAAATTAACCTATACTGTTAAAATACTCAACTACAACACCAACGACACAACAACCCTCGAATTACGTTGCATACAAACTTCGTCTAAAAGAATGAAGATACATTGCAGTACAGCTATTTTATGGGAAAACAAGAGATAATACCTAATGGGTGTATTTCAAAAAAGTGAACTATACAAAACTTCATCAACAGATGTTTATAAAACCGATCATCAAGCAAAAAGAACCATTAAAATAATCAAACCTTAAGTCCTACCATCCATCTATGAGATCACAAACAGATTATTAAAATAGCCAAGACTGTGTGTAACTCCCAAGCCCACATTTTTATAATGAGTATTATGCAGCACGATGGACAGGAAGACAAATTGTGATAAACCAAACGTTATCTACAAAATCAATTGCAACAACTGTAACAAAATGTCTGCCCACTCTGTTCACATTGACATGAACATCAACTACCAACCAGTTAAACGCCACAACATAGTTTGACTGATATCAAACGACATGAGCAACTGTGAATATGTGTTGAATGGGAAAACATCGAAATATTAGACAAAGAAAACATTAAGAAAGGTCAACAGAGCAAGAAACTAGTTAACTGCATAGAAATCCTTATGAATCATTTCTTCTTCAATTGTGTGCTAATGATGTTGTTGAGAAACACAATGAAAGCTTCACAATTAAAGCAATCAGCCTAAATAATAGGACACCCTTAAAAACATTCAGTTATTTGAAAACAGGCAGATACTATTTATCGTTTACTGCAGTAAACGTAACAAATTATAATATCTGTTTAGTTTTACTAAGGTGGATGAAGCACAATTTGTTATTGAAATACATGATTTAAGAATGTATGGTTCAAGTTTTGCTTTTAAACAAACCAAATTGCGCTATTAATAAACTTAATATGAAGAAGTACACGTCGGTATTCGCAACTAATAACTCAATATGTAAATGATATCGCTGAAAAAGTTAATGCATTTTCAAATTATGCTTATGTTATCAACAATACCTTTGAAATCGATTTGTGGTAAATTTCCATAAACATAAGTGTACAAGCAAAGGTGGATGATGGTTAACAGTAGAATCCAGGACGCTCGTTTCATCCTATTTGGGACTCGTCAGCTGGATGTACTGCATCAGAGAGTTAATGTTCACTACAAGACTTGAACCCAGTGCCGTTCGCTTCAAACACAACTTAGCTACTGAATCTTGATAGCCATTGATTTGTGTAATGGGATGAAGTGAACGATACTGGGTTAGAGTATCCTAGTGAACATCAACACTATGATGCAGGTTCATCTAGCCGATGAGTCTGAAATACGACAAAACGTGTGTCCTGGATTCAATTGCTAGCTACTGTTCACCTTTGCTCATAATGCTTGTGACAACGTAATATTGAAACAGTTTTAACAAGATGCACGTATACCAATAAGAGACTGATCAATTATAATTCTAAACATTAGTGGGAAGATTCAAACAAACAATACAAAATGAACAAAAATGTATGGTTTGCAAATTCTTATCGAACTAATGAATGTTTCTGATGTCCAAAATATCTTCTTTATATATTTTAACATGTAATTAGCATTTTCACATGAGAACATATGTAGACATATTACAATATTAAATTTTTATCTTTCATAAATTTCAAAGAAAATAGCACAGAAATAAATTTAATCATGAATGGTCGCTTTTAGAATTTCCAGTTATAGTTGAAATCATGCGTCAATTAAAAAACCAGATCACCATGAAAAACCAGGAAGCACTGGACAGCCGTTTCGTCCTAGTATGGGACTCCTCCGTGACCAGTGGAGTTCAACTAGGTTTGTTGTGAGATATCAACTCATTGAAGACAATGATGAACGGTAGCGCAATTTTGTGGATTGGTTGAAATTAGAAATTAACACCGTCGGATGCAGGCCAGTTCAGTAGTCTAATGGTTAAGTGCTCGCGCGCGAGACTGATAGGTCTTGGTTTCGAATCCCACGGAGGGAGGTTGGGATCATGAATGTGCACTGCTGAGGAGTCCCGCGATAGGACGAAATGGCCGTCGAGTGCATCCAGGTTTTCCATGCTGGTCTAGAATCGATCAACTCATGATTTCAACTATTGAAATTTTCTAAAATCTCCACAAAACCCCTTCTGATATGTTTCATCTATGTCAAAAATCCTTAGTTTTCATTGAACATTTGTCGTAATTCAATACTTTTATTTTCGTTTCTAACTCACTTATGAACAATTAACTTAAACTAGTACATATGACACTTTAGTATTTGTTATATAGCCTACAAGTCACCAAGTTGATGAACATAACGATTTACTTTATTTATATGGAAACTATTATGAAATGAATATATAGAAACAAATAGATTATTAAAAAAAAAGAACTATCACTACTTTTACAATATTTAATTGCTTGAATATATAACTGATGGCCTATATAAACTTAATAATAGTTAGCGCATTCTAAATTCGTCATCTGAATCTTTTCTATTGATGTTTAAGATTGTAATTATCAGTCTCTTTAGACACATGTGCGTCTTTTGCGTCTTGCCTTGATATTTGCCTAAAGTTACAAAGATTATCGGCAGATATAGATGGCAGTTGACAGTAGAGTTCAGGACGCGCGTTTTGCACTATTTTAGAGTCGTCAGCTGGATGTACCTGAATCCAAGAGTTGGTATTCACTCAGGGACTCAAACCCCCTATTACCTACCATTCATCTTTCTTTATAATAATAGCTATCTTTAACTGAAGTAGGCAATTAGAATTCAAAATAACAAGACTTTTAGATTACTGGCTATAGTCTGTAACTGATGAGACAAAAAAGATCACCTTGAAACATGGTTTTCACATTATATTGACAAATACCTGTGACCTGCTTGAACTTCTGCCTAAACGTATACTAAGTGGTATAAAATCGCCTGTTTTCTGTCTATTTCAGTACATTTATTATGGATAAATAAAGTGTCTACAAACTATCGCGAAACTAAAAAAACTCAATAATACGCACTACAGTGATTAGTATATTTTCTTCCTTATTTGTTCTTTACAGAAACGATCGTAGAATACCATGAAATCTATTCAGTAATTATATTATTATTCCTACAATTGAAGAAGATATGGAACTTAAGACAACTGTCAACCAATATCAAAGACAGAATCTTCAATACGAACGTCAAGACAGTTCAAATGTATGGAGCTGAAACTTGAAGAACTACAACAACTACAGTCAAGAAAGTACAAGTATTTATAAATAGCTGTCTACGCAAGATACTCAACATCCATTGGCCGGATACCATCAGCAACCGCCTTCTGTGAGAGAGAACAAACCAGCTTCCAGTTGAAGAGGAATTTAGGAAAAAACGTTAAAAGTGAATCGGACATACATTACGCAAATCATAAAACTGCATCACGAGACAAGCCCTAACTTGGAATCCTGAAGGGAAGCGGAAAAGTGGAAAGCCAAAGAACACATTACGTTGGGAAATAGAATCGGATGTGAAGAGGATGAATAACACAACTGGAAATAGCTGAAAAGAATTGCCCAGGACAGGGTTGGATGGAGAATGTTGGTAGTCGGCCTATGTTCCTTCACGAAGAGTAACAGGCGTAAGTAAGTAAGTATATTATGCAATGAAAAGAGATTTCAGTTGCATTAAAATAGTACAAAATCATTGCTGATTTTTTAGAATACTGACATATGAAACGTATTAGATATGAGAATTCCTAACTGTAATCAAACATAATATTGAATAAAGTGTTATTATCTTCTTAATTGAATGTCTCACTACTTATCATTATATTCACTTACTGACATTGACTTGGTACAAGACGTGAACTATCTGTACAAGAGTGAAATTTTCCAGCGAATAATTGTACACCAATAACAGCAAACATAAATTCAAGCAAAAATGTAACCATCATTATTTTACCAATACTTTTTACAGCAACTACAACACATTGGACGACATGCTGTTGAATTCAAAAAAAGAAAAAAAAAGGATGACAAGTGAAATTTATTTTACAGTATAACTACAGTACTTTTAGAGATAACACTCTCCTCATCTAAATTTACAGGGGTTGAACTTCTACCAGGAGGTTCACTTGTTGACTTAGAATATGCAGATGACATAGTTTTATTTGGTGAAGACGCTGACAAAATGCAGAGTCTTCTGACCACTCTAAGCAACAATGCAAGCATGTTCGGGATGCGATTCTCTCCCTCGAAATGCAAAATGTTGCTTCAGGATTGGGTTACATCGACACCCGAACTAGTGATAGGGAGTGAAGTAGTTGAGTGTGTCGACCGCTTCACTTATCTTGGAAGTCTCATCAGCCCTTGTGGTTTGGTGTGTGACGAAATCTCAGCACGGATACAGAAGGCTCGACTAGCTTTTGCCAACTTGCGTCATTTGTGGCGTAGGCGAGATATCCGTCTATCAACCAAAGGACGTGTTTACTGCGCAGCAGTTCGTTCCGTCCTACTTTATGGCAGTGAAACATGGCCGGCAAGAGTAGAGGATATCCGTAGGTTACTAGTATTCGATCATAGGTGTCTTCGAAACATTGCTCGTATATCATGGGACCATCGAGTAAGTAACACAGTTGTTAGGAAACGGGTACTAGGTAAAGATGGCAAATCAATTGATGAAGTAGTGAAACTTCATCAGTTGAGATGGGTGGGACACGTGTTACGTATGCCCAACGACCGACTGCCTCGACGTGCTATGTTCAGTGGTATAGGAGTAGGTTGGAAGAAAGGTTGAGGCGGCCAAACCAAAACATGGCTCAAGTCCATGAAGTCACTGACAAGTGAACTGAGTCATGTCGGTAGGTGTAGACTACCTGGTTGGGGACCGCGAGATGACAGCAACCGATGGTTAGAGACCCTGAATGACATGGCTCAAAATCGTTCGCAATGGCGCAGGTGCATCCACTCTTTGTGTTCTCCCAAACTCTAATCTTCTGAATTCTTCATGTCCCTTTTTCCCTCTTTCCAAATTTCTTTCACTGGATTATACTCTTTAAATAACATCTTCAAACCATAATCTTCCCGATTACTGCTTATACTCTTGCTACCTCTACCACTACGGGATTTGAATCGACCACTGCATCTCTGTGCTAATGTGGTTTGGCAACTCGAACTGATGTACGTACGTACGAAGTTCTACGTTGTTACTGACTGACTGACTGACTGACAGTTTAAATATCTATTAAATCATTTTAAAAAATCTCTTCAGCGAGGAAATTCATTCAGTCGACATGGTGTTTAGAGATTGTTTAATTTCATTGAGATCATGAACCGCTTTAAGTTAGACCACCATTTAAAACCTGTCAGAGCTATATGGGTGTTTCATAGTAGTATGGAACACTTTAGCAACTCGCAGTTATCCACCGGTGGGCGCAATGTCATGAACTAGTTGAAGTTCAACGTTAACACCATTGTATGCCAACTCGGTGGTCTAAAAGTGGAACGTTCTCGCACGAGATTGAAAGTTCTAGGTTTGATTACCGTGTAAGGGGACGTCAATTCCCACAACTGAGGAGTCCTATACCGGGACGCAATCGCTGTCTTGTGTTTCGAGTCTTTTAACAGTGATCTAATATTGATTGGTTATTGATTTCAATAATATTGTTTTTAACTAGTTCATTTTCTAAACCTTATAATAGCATAGGTGTGATAAGTTGTGTATCAATCAATAATTTTAGATTTGTTTATAATTGATTAGTTGCTATACAGAATTAGACTAGATAGTCATTTTAAATAAACAAAATTGTTATAGAAGAAATGAGTTTACAAAACACAAGAAATATGTAACCAATAAGTGGAGTAGCTCTGTTTATCATCAAATTATCGAATGATAAACAAGAAAACTGAATACAAACAATCTATGTAATAAGAAATAGTAAACATTAACAAACAAAGGAAATAATCAAACAACAGATATTTAGCGAAACCTTCAAGTCTCTTAAATTGATGTTCACATTGAATTTTCATCGACTTGATTAAATGAACATTGACATGATCTGTTAGTTTACATATAGTTCATGGTTGGACAAAGAAGGTTCAGACTACAATGAATTCACTACGTACTATTGTCACGTTTGGAATAGCTTTATTGGAAAAAGAATAATTTCTCGACTATGGCCTATGGTCTTCATAATAGTACTATATTAAAAGTAATGGGTTTAGTCCTAACACCAAAAAGAATGAGCCATGTTCACTGACGCAAAATATGTGCACCTCAAAATCCGTCGATGATAAGAGATTACCTCTGATTTGAATAATAAACTGAAAGTATGGGTTCATACAAGAACAGATTACTAAGAAGCTGGTGTTAAGCACAACTATAGCTGTTTTCTTTTAACATAATAACGACATATTTGGTTAGTTTAAACTAATGATGTATTTCTTGCACCCATCAATGTTTATAAGATTTTAGTCAGTAAATCGTAGAACTTTCATATATCGAAAGTCTTAAGTCACTTTCAGGTCAAAAGATTCGCGTACATATATGCCAGATCTCTTGATGACAAAATATCAAGTTTCGTCTTTCATTAGTGTTGGAACAAAACATTATGGAAGTATAATTGCAATATAATGTATTATGTACACAGTGAAATAGTACCTTACTTAGATTAGCAGTGTTACTCTCATACTGATGTAAATAGAAGGTAAATGTTTTCTAAATACAAAGCACATCTATGAGGTGACTTAGTCGAATCACTGGATATTATCTCTTATTTACTTTTTTTCTAGAAAAAGCTTCATATAAAACATAATACTACCATTTAAAACATTGTTAGAACTATTGTTACTCCGATTTTATTAAAACTGCAATAGATTGAAATAAAGTAATTGTTATCAGAAGGGATTATTCTTGTGATTCTAATAATTTCAATAGTTGAGATCATAAGTCAATTGAAGCTAGACTGGTAGGTCATGGGTTCGAGTCCCCTTGGTGTAGAATCATGGATGAGCATTACTGAAGAGTCTCATATCAGGACGAAACGACCGTTCAGGTGCTTCCAGATATTTTTCATAATAGTCTAGCTTCAATTGACTTATGATCTCAACAAAACTTCATTTAAAGAAAAAGAAACCAAGAAAGTATATTAGACAATTTGATTTTTCTAATACATTAAGATTTTTTAATTGTGTAAATTGTATTTCTGAGTATTCTGTGCCAAATTCAATAATATAAAACAATACACATTCTGAATTGTTTACATTGAATTAATAAAAGAAGCTCATTGATTCAGTAAAGAATGTTTCTTTTTTGTTGTTGTTTTGGTTTCTTTTTTAACAATATCAACTGTTTTCTGAAACTGTATCATTTCATTTATAAATCATTTTGGTAAATAGTAGTCTAATAGTAGTATAGTGAAGTCAATAAAAATAAAATGGTGTTGTTTATAACATAGTCAAGATGATCAAAAGGAATTTCATTTAATTGAATAAAACGGGGATTGTATCATCATAAGAGATTATATTATCTAATACTTTTAAAAGGAATGATAAATGATAATCTATAGAATAAAAGTTGAAGACAATCTTCTATCATATGAAGGGGCAGAAGAAAGTCAGTCAGTCAGTCAGCTACAACGTAAGACCAGGCCCTTGCGTCACCTTTGGCGAAGGCGAGATATCCGTCTATCAATAAAAGGACGGGTATACTGCGCGGCAGTCCGTTCTGTTTTACTTTACGGCAACGAAACATGGCTTTTAAGAGTAGAAGACACACGTAAGCTACTAGTATTTGACCACAGATGCCTTGGAAATATTGCTGGCGTCTGCTGGGATCACCGGGTAAGTAATAGAGAGGTTAGACGCAGGGTATTAAGTAATGATAGTAAATCAGTTGATGAGGTTATGAATCTTCATCGACTGAGATTGTTGGGCCACGTGTTACGTATGCCCAAACACCGATTACCACGACGTGCAATGCTATCCGGTATTGGAGATGGTTGGAATAAAGTTAGGGGCGGCCAAACCAAAACGTGGCATCAGTGCTTGAAGACACTAACTTCTAGTCTGAGCCATGTTGGTAGATGCAGACTACTTGGTTGGGGTTCACGTGACTTCCGTAACCAATGGTTGGAGTAACAATTAATCATCACAATCTGTAGAATTCAAAGGAGTGTTAAGACTAGAGAGAGAATAAGAGAATGAACATAACTCTTCTGTACATAGAGTTCGAGTATGAAATGGTGAATTGCTATAGCATTTTGAATGAGATCTTGAACCGATTGATGTTAAACCACTATTGAAAATCTGGAAGTACTGGAACTCCACAGCAGTGCGGATCCACGATCCTGCTCGCAGGATTCGAACCCAGGGCCTGTAGTCTTGCACTCAAACGCTTAACCTACTACACCACTGAGCTGCCTGGTATCCAACGGTGTTAATGTCTAACCTCAATCATTCCATGAAATTTCTATGGCATTGACTGTGTACAAATTCTAGATCTAAACCTTTTTTTTAAGCCAGTTCTCTTTATTTTGTTAAGGATTCTGAATGATGAGTAACGTATTAGGGTGTAACCCAGGTTGAGAATGAGTTTAAAGATTGAGTTACTGATTGATTTGCATTCCCTTTTAGAGAAGTGCTTAAATATTCATTTTCAATAGACGGATTAATTTAAAACTTGATCTATCAGAGAGGTATATTTCCTTCTTGAAATAAGTTATAATATATCAAATTCATATATGAGTATAATCATAAAACTTACTTTTAAACCTTTCGCTCTATTGATCGCTCTTAAAGGTCGTAATACTCGTGAGACTCGAAGAATTTTAACTACAGATATTGTATCAATACTAAGTAAGATAAAAAAAAATCAAACAGAATAGCTTCATGTTAATTAAGATGTCAAATAAGATTCTATTAAAATGTTTGCTATGTTGGCAGATACAAACTACTTGGTTGAGGTCCACGTGACTATAGTGACCAACAGTTGGAGACTCTGGGTAACATGGCTCACAATCGATCACAATGACGTAGGCGTATACACTCACTATCTTCCCTTAAACGATGAGATTAAAATAGCTTCATATCTTTCTTTCTACGAACTAATTCTTTCTTCCTGTACTATATAACCTTACTTTTATGTACTACTACCATTGAATTGGTGTTCATCTTGTTATGCTAATGAGGTATGGCAACTTCGACCGATGCATATATATGCCTGATTCTACATTGTTGCTGACTGTAATAATTCAATTGTTTCTTGGTAAATAATATTTCATCATGAACTAACATCTATTAGAGATCTTTAGATAGATCTAGTTCTTTGTTAAACTAATCGTTACAAAATATGAACAATAGATTACATTTGAATAATATTTGACTTGAAAACAAATTCTTCAATTCTAAATCAAAACCAATGAAATGACATGATGTTGACAAGTAAGATAGCTATATTAGCAAATATATTACATACGAAAATATGAACCTATATTTACTATTTGTCAGTTCGATTCATGATAAGACTACTTGTAATCGTGCCCCCAAATGCCCTGGTACGGCCGAGAGTGGGGAGAGTCCGCTCTCCCTATCCAAATTCTCTCACATGGCCACGCGTATATAGCCTCTGTCAGAAAAGTCCTACTCACTACCTCCTCGTGGTAGAGGGGTTGTTCATGAAATTGAGAGGACGAAAAGCCAATGTCCGGTGCTGTAACCGGGTTGGTATATACGGATAGTCCACCTAGGGGAGTTGGAAAACCCTCATTTCAAGCCAACGGTTCACGTGGGCTACAGTATCCTGAAGGAACAAATGGCGTAGAACCAACCGCTGGTCATCGGTTACGATGGGACTGCATCTCCTTACGTCACTCCACTGCCTTGTGGATCAGACTTTTAGGTCCAAGACTCCGGATCTCCCCCCCCCTAAGAAAACTACTTGCTTCGGTTTGGGCACCCGGGGCAGTATCACATCCCTCACACATATCAAATGAGATCTGTGTGGCGCATATGTATTTGGTGCCTCCTTGTACTAATATCCATGTGTTGAAACAGAATAGAAATTTGTAATCATAGTCAAGTAATCTTAAAGTAAGTGGAAACAGTTATACAGTTCTATCTGTTATTATATTATCTTCATGACAAATAATCAAAGTAAACATGAGTGATCAAACAATGAATACTAAGTGAATTGGAAAAAAAGTAATTTAGATGTTCATTTTCCAGAAGACCATCGATCTTCCATACATTACAATTGGTTTTCATTCTAACTTCAAAAAACAGTCAAAGAAGAACTAGAAGAACTGGAAAGTCTTAGATAGATACATTCTCTTTAAACATTTAGAAACAGAGTTGTAAATAAGAACTAAATGAATTCAACTGAACTATAATTGATGTGTTATATACTCTTTGGATTTAAATATACTTCCAATATTTTTACAAAGAAATCAAGTACTTTTACAATATTCGGTTTATATCACAACAAAGCACCTTGTATATTTGTAATATTCAGTTCTATTTATAAAGCCTTGATAAATATGATGTCTAAACTCCAACTACGTGCTTATATGCAATATGAACTGGTTACAAGTTTATTACACTAATCAATCGAGTGGAAATGGTAATATGAACTAATGTACAGATAAATTTAGGAAATTATGGTATACTACAATAGAATTCTGGAAATTCAATTTACTACATATACATGTCTCAATTACTTGTGTAAATATATTTAAACGATTGAAAATCACTACTGGTTTTCACAGTTAAATTTACGAGTCGATCTAAGTTAAATCACCATTGGAAACTTGGAATCACTGGACGGCTACTTTTCTCGCGAGACCAAAGGACTTGAATTCAAATGGGATCATGGATGAGCATTAGTGAAGTGTCCCATTACTAGAATGAAACGTCATTTAGTGATTCTAAGTTTTCATTGGTTATGTAACTTAGATCGACTCATCAATCCAATTGTTAAAAAATATTACAATCTCCATAAACTCCATAACGATATTACTGATTTTCTCTTTAATTTGGGATAAAGGATAAAAATACACAATAGAACTTACTCAATTGGATAAGAAATAATTGATGTAAGAACTACCATAAAATCTAACATATTATTTGCGCTTCGACAAAATGCTCCCTTATGTAATACCAAACCATAAGTAATTATCTAATAAAGAAAATTAATGATATTATAGTTAAATAATTTCAGAATTAATTATAGGTTTAACAGATATATGTATATATACTGTATCATTATTTATTCACAATCAAGTTGTAGTAGAATCTTGGACAGTGGTTTTGTCACACAATCTCCATAAAATAATATCTCTATTGAAATTAAAACCGGGCCATATCGTATTTGAGGATCTTGGTTTTTCCCATGTGTATGTTGTGACCTGCTGATGCAGAGGCTGCTGCTGTTGCTGCTACACTAGTTGTCTTCATCTGCATTTGTTGATGTGTATGAGATAGAAGAGCTAGGTCATCTGTCAAGTCTAAATAGTCTAGTTGTTTCCAACCTGTCAATTTTATTCCGTGCTCCCTGTTAGATGTTGAGGTCTTCATAATCCAGCCAAACATCAAGAGAAAGAGAAAGGGAGAGAGTAGGCAGCCTTGTCTGACTCCGGTCTTCACTTAGAATGAGTGTTATACACGAATTTGAAGTGTAGTTCGTCGTATGAATTTCATATGATACTCAACAGTGTTGAAGAAGTTTCCATGAAATCCTCCTATCCACACTGTCAAATGCTTTCTCATAATCAAGGAATTTAATGTATAGTGACGAGTTTCATTCAATTGATTGTTCAACGATGATTCGTAGTGTAGCGATTTAGTCTGTCCACGACCGATCCTTACAAAATCCGACCAAAAAACGTAAGTCGGTTAGAAACTTATCAAAGCTTACTTGTTGGAGACCCAATAAGACACCATAAAGCCCAATTTATGTAAGCAGAATAAAATCAACTGTGTACTATAGATACTAATAGACCCGAATGCAGTTGTTACAAAAAAGTGAGACGTTATATTTCGATAGAAATATAGAGAAGTAACTTGACAGTCTTTTCATTATAGCGAAAACCCTTGTCTAATTCCATATTCATTTTCACAACTTATATTTCTCTCAATCAGAACACATATGTAATTCCAATACTTGAAATCATGAGTCAATTGAAGCCAGACCGAAATGGAAAACATGGAAGAACTGGACGACCGTTTCGTTCTGGTGTGGGACTCCTCAGCAGTGCGCATCCACGATCGCGCCCCCGCGAGATTCGAAACCAGGACCTATCAGTCTTGCACGCGAACACTTAACCACTAAACCACTGAGCCGGCCGTCATCCAACGGTGTAAATATCTAACTTCAACCAATCCACAAAATTGCGCCACCGTCCACGATTGTCTTCAGTGAGTTGGTATCTCACAATAAACCTGGTTGAATTTCATCGGTCACTGCTTCTAACTAAAACTCAAGGAAATACCTCTTGAAGCCAGTCACTGTTGAGCATATGGTGATTAATAACAGAAGGGGGTTTTGCGCATATTATATTAGTTTCATTAGTTGAGATCATGAGTCAATTGAAGCTAGATTGATAGGTTCTGGGTTCGAATCTTGCGAGGTGAGATCATGGATGTGCACTGCTAAGGAGTCTCACTAGGACGAAACGGCCATCCAGTGCTTCCAGGTTTTCCATGGTGGTCTAGCTTCAATTGACTCATGATTTCAATCAAAAAAAGATAAAACTTTCAATTTTAAATTAAGCACAAATTTATTTAATCAACAATTCGAAAGAGATTTTTTTATTGAGATCATGAATCGATTGATGTTAGACCACCACAATTGAAAACCTGGAAGCACTGGACGGCCGTTTCGCCTTATTGTGGGACTCTTCGGCAGTGCGCATCCACGATCATGGTCGCGGGACTCGAACCCAGGGCCTTCGGTCTCGCGTGAGAGCGCTTAAAGTGAAATGTAATATGTACCATATGTCAAACTTACTTTCAAAGTTATCTCCACTGTAAACACAGAAGTGAAAAAGTAATCAAAGTAGTTCAATATCTGAAATTAAAAAACAATATTAACATAAGATAATAACTTCAATGTTATTGTTATATTGAAATGATGAAAGTTTGATCGAGCAAATAGAAGGATTTCAATCGATCTGTACTAATCATGATATTAGAACACTAACTGACTACGATGACCTAAAACGTTGTACCAATTTCAAATCACGTTCCATCAAATAACAAGTAAATTAAGGAAAGATATTAGCATTAACTACAGATGTTGTATTTTTTAAACTTCAAGATTCATTTCAATTATGAGGTTAATGATGTAATTACAAATCAGAACAATTGTTTGATTCAAGATTATGTAACGTGTAGAATAATATGAATGCAGAAAGAAATGGTAAATTAAATAGATTTAGTTAAAACAATTGATAGTTCAGTTGTCAGTCAGTCAGTGACAACATAGAACGAACGTACGTACGTACATCAATTCAAGTTGCCATGCCACATTAGCACAGAGATACAATTGTCGATTCAAATCAGATAGTAGTAGAGGTAGTAAAAGTATAAGCAGTAATCGGAAACATTAAGGTTTGAAGATTTTATTCAAGGAGTATAATCCAGCGAAATGAATTTGGAAAGAGAAAAAATAAAGGGACATGAAGAATTCAGAATATTGGAATTTTGGAAAACACAAAGAGTGGATGCATCTGCTCACACCATTACAAACAATTTTGAGCCATGTCACATCCAAGGTCTCTAACCATCGGCTGCTATCGTTTGGTGGATCCCAACCAGGTAGTCTACATCTACCAACATAACTCAGTCCACTTGTCGGTGACTTTATGGATTTGTACCATGTTTTGGTCTGACCGCCTCTAGCTTTTTTCTAACCTACTCCCACACCATAAAAAATCGTACGTCGGAGCAGTCAGTGGTTGAGCATACAAATTATACAATCAATACGGATTAGTCGTTTACAATAGTATATTATGCAAACAGTTATCTGAATAAATCCATCGGACTCATAATTGCTCAAGTAACAGAAGCATTAATTATTCAAATCAGAAACCCTGAGCTTTACACGGAAAAAGATATACCCAACAGCCTTTTTTTCTGTACCGAATTCGGGCTTCATAAATTAATCATATTGATTATAAGATAATATAAACTGACTAATGTACATAAAGACTATTATTTTTTTATATTTTTGTAGCACCAAATTTATCTTCATATACCTTTGCATTATTATTACTATTGTTGTTTTCATTATAACATTTGTTAAAACATTGGACAAATTTTATCTTTCAATAGTTGAAGTCGTGAGTCGATTAAACCTAGACCACCATGGAAAACCTGGAAGCACTGGACGGCTGTTTCGTCTTAGTATAGGACTCTTCAATAGTGCACATCCACAATCCTGCACACAAGATTCAAACTTTCGATCTCATGAGAAAACGCTGAACCTCTAGAGCACTAAGATGGCATCCTACAGTGTTAATATCTAAACTCAATCAATCCAAGATATTGCGTGACCATCTTTCATTGTCTTCAGTAGGTAGGTGTCTGACAACCGACGCAGTTGAACCCCAGTGGTTATGGCCTTTCACTAGAACTCCGATAATTCCCTCTAGAAGCTAGTCACCAGTGAGCACATGCTGTTTGTTTTGGAACACCAATTAGAGCTTATAATTGTAGAACCAGATGAAAGCTTATTCAATGAATGTTCTTCATTTATAAATATACTTGCTTTTAATATTATGGAAATTTTAAAAAAAGTAAAGTGTCACAAAAATCTTATATGCAGAACATATAGATTATAATAAATCGTTGCAAACTACGATTGCAGTAAATCTTCAAGATGTAATTTCTGATCACTTGAAATTTGATATGAACTTAAGTAATTTTTATAAACAATATGTACAAAGACTCAACAATACAATCAATGAACAGACGAATAGAACACCAATGGGATCACCAATATCAGGACTCATTTCAGAAGCAATAATGCAGAGATTAGAAGGTTCAACTTTACCAATGGTCAAACCAAAAATGTGGATACATTATGTGGACAATACATTTGTCATTATCGAAGCGAATCATCTGTAAAAGAATTAGACTTTAACCAACAACGTCTTCGATAACAAAATTCATAATAGAAAAGGTGTTGAACGACAAGCCATCATTCTTGGATGTATTGATCGTCAGAACCAATAAAGAGGTCAATCAATAATCAACAAAAACACATCAAAATCAATCCAATTTATTAAACAATAAGAAAACTCACAGACAATGATAGGATCAAGAATCAAATACGAGGAAGATGTAATCAAAATAAAGAGGCAGATAATGATTGCTTGAAGGTCAACTATAACCAATCAAGGTCTAGGTTGACAAGACAAGCCATTAGTCATATATGGAGTAATCCAGACACTTTACTTCTACTGAAGTTTGCGCTTATGATATTGTTCAAAAGAATAATACAAGTTCCATGACCAAACTATTCAACACACAGAATGAAACTCCACCAAAAACATTCAAATATATAATCACATAAATTTTTTTCACTATCAGATTCCTCTAATTTTAATTTCTCACTTGTATAGATATATCGATAAATGTCCTTAAGAAGTTATCAGTAGTAATTGATAACAATTTCAAACAAGGATTTAATAAAACTACATTAGATCACTGGGCGGCCTATGGTCCTCCACAATGTGTAACAGGCGCAAGTACGTAACTCTGGGTCACTATTATTTGATGAAGAGAAATTTACTAACCAAATTAGGTATGGAAAAATTGGTTGAAATTTAAACATTAACACTGTTAGATGCCGGCCGGCTCAATGGTCTAGTGATTAAGCGCTCTGACGCGAGACTGATAAGTCCTGGGTTCGAATCTCGCGGGGGGCGGAATTGTGTATGCGCACTGCTGAGGAGTCTCATACTCGGACGAAACGGCCGTCTAGTGCATCTAGGTTTTCCATGTTCGTCTAGGTTCAATCAACTCATGATTTAAACTATTCAGAAATTTTTAACACATTTTTTAATAAAACAATACCTGATTACGTGCAGATGATGCATCTAATGGATCTTCAGCTGCAAGCATAGCACTACTAACTAAGATACATACAAGTACAATATTATTGAAATAATTGTGATTGCAAACTTCATGACAGGCTACACGAAATCTGTGAAGTACCAAAAAGAAATTATAGTATTAGGAAATTGAGAAGGTAATTACAACTGGATAGATTAAAAATTAAAGTGAATTTGTAGACTAAAAAAATTAATAAATAGTCAATATTGGGTTGTGGAGATTGTTAGGTTTTCGATTGAGATTATGAACCGATTGATGTTAGACCATCATTGAAAACCTGGAAGCACTGAACAGCCGTTCCGTCGTAGTGTGCGACTTCTGAGCAGTGTGCATCCACAAAAACGCACACTCGATTCGAACTCAGGACCTTCCGTTTCGAGAGCGAACGCTTAACTTCTTGACCACTGGCCCTGTATCCAACGGTGTTAATGGATTGATTGAGGTTGGACATTAACACAGTTGTCTAGGGCTTAAGCGTTCGCGCGCGAGATCGAAGACTCTTGGTTCGAATCCCGTTAGCGGGATCGTGGATACGCAGTTCTGAGCAGTCCCGCAATAGAACATACAGTGCTTCCAGGTTTTCAATGATGCTCTAACATCATCCGGCTCATGATCTCAAACATATATATATATATATATATATATATATATATATCACTTAGTTACTCCTGTTCGCCTCGTGTAACATAAATTCTTGTAAATACACATTCTCTTAACAATAAATGTGGATGTTTTTCTTACATAATTTTAATGATGAGAAGCACAACTTCACTCATATGTCGTCAATATAGACTGTTTCCCCCTTCTAAACTGTTTTCCATTTTCTCAGGTCCTTTATTAAAATATTTAACGGATATAAATTTTTATCAATCAAAATATCCAAAATACAGGTTTAATTAACCTCTTTTAAGATAGGTTAATAAATCATTTGGAATATTATATCTGTGTTATTTTTATTACCAAATTAAAGTTTAGGTGAAACGCCCCCAAATGCTCTGATACGGCCGAGATTGGGGAAAGTTAGCTCTTTCTCTCCAAATGCTCTCACATGGCTACGCGAATATAGCCTCTGCCAGAAAAGTCCTACTCACTACCTCCTCGTGGTGGGGGTGTTGTTTATGTAATTGAGAGGACGAAAGGCAAATGTTCAGAGCTTTAACCGTGTTGATGGACATGGAAAGTCCACCTAGGGGAGTTGGAAAACCCTGATTCCGAACCAATGGTGCATATGGGCTGGCTCCCGGATCCCAAGGGAACAAATGGCGTATGAACCAATCGTTGGTCACCGGCTACCATGGGACTACATCTCCTCACGATGTTCCATTGCCTTGTGGATCATATCTTTACGTCGAAGGCTCCGGGTGTGGCCCCCTAAGAAAAACACCTGCTTCGGTTTGGGCACCCGGGGCAGTGTCACAGCCTTCATACAAATCAAATGAGACTTGTGTGGCGCATATGTATTTGGTGCCCCCTTTTACCAGTATTTATGTGTTCAAATAAATAACTAAATAAATTAGGTGAAACAGAAATTGATTCTATTCAAATTGAGAATCAATACTGACATTTGATATTTAAACAAGATATAAATACTTACGGATTAGTTGGACTGAATATGAAAAATGAAGATGCATTCGGTATTGGTTTTATTTTCTTTGTTGAACTAATTTCTGAATGACGTCTTGAATTAGTTGTATCTTTCATTTTATCAGTTTCATCAGCACTTCTATCATCATTATCGTCATCATCGTCATTATCATCATCATCATCATCATGACTGTCTCTATTTCGATCTTCTTTTAAATCATCATTTTTATCATCTGTTCTTTGTTTATCTTCTATGTTCAAAAATCAACCGTAAACAAAATTCGTGTTAAGTTTATGATATACTTACAATATTAACATAGATTATAATATTCATATAAGTCATTTGGTTTTAATTATATCCATGGTACAATAAATGGTGTTGGGGTTATGTCTACATTTTTTTTATTATTTTACAGTCACAGTTACTAATAATCATTGCATTAATTAACTGTACTTATTAAAATAGAAATACAAATGCCTCAAAGAGAAGGTCATTGAAGTGTGAAATTATTGATTAGAATGTTATTTTTATGCAACAAAGTAAATATATATTCACTTGATATTGTTTGACTTGTATCTTCCCAGTGAGGTTTAAGACTTCAATTGACCAGTCTGTTATTGGCTAGCCACTATCCATCTTTGCTTATAAAAGCTTGTGAATTAATACAATATCAAGGCATACGCATAGTATGCATATATGCCAATAACAAGATACAAACAAAACAATACCAATTGAATTTAAATTCACCCCATTGCACAAGCAAGCGGTTATCAGGACTCAGTAGCTAAGTGGGTAACGTGATGGCGTTTGAAGCGAACGGTACTGGGTTCGAGTCCCACAGTGAGCACCAATCCTGAGATGCAGGTACGTCCAGTTGACGAGTCCCAATTGGGACGAAACGCGCGTCCTGGATTCCACTATCCATCTTTGCTTATAAAAGTTAATATATTATGTAACATTGGTAATTAAATAAATGTCACACATTTATTTTGAGATTTATTGGAATTCTGACTAATTCTAAAAGGGAAACTCAAAATAAATAGCCAAAAGAAAAGTCAGGATTATTACGAATAACATTTCTAACTGAGCCATGTTTATTAGTTAAAATGGGATGTGACATATGCTGTTACAAGACTACTATTACTTTTTTTAAAATACTACTGTAGTGAACGAGAACACAAGTAGGAACAACCAAAAATGTACTTGAATACAAAATTACAGAATCACTTAGTAAAATCTAAGTAATTCACTTTCAAAGTGCCAATCAATCGTCTCGGACTTCGTTGTCCTTTCGTTTCTACACCAATCATTCCTTGTTCTCCTTTTCTTTTCTTTTATCTTTTTAACCTTCTGCCATCAGACATTTCACTTTCGATTGATGATACATACTATTTATATTTATCGACATCAGTAGCATACTGCACACTGTATTTATTATTTTGAGAATCAACGCTCATTTATTGCTTTTACCAAAATCCAAATCAATAATCGATACACAAATAATAATTCAATTCCTAGACTATTCACACGACTGATGAAAATCTACACATGAATATAGAAATTGTTCTAATTCAAAGTAAGCTTGACAATTAATTAGTTTGAGAATACAAAAGTAATTAGTCATATTTTTCAAATTTACCTCGATCAAACATGCGTCGATCAGGATCAGCTTCTTCATTGATTGGATCTAAACTAAAAATGAAAAAGTACATAAATTATATATAGAAATATAGTTTAACAATGAATTTTTCAGACAAGTAGATGGGGTAGCAATTGGATCACCTTTAGGCCCGATCCTTGCTAATATTTTTCTGACCAAACTAGAAAATGGACCGCTTAAAGACATCCTAAATAAGCTTGATTACTACTGTCGATACATAGATGACACATTAATCATATGTGACGAAAATATCGACAAACAGGAGATGTTAGACGCTTTCAATAATGTCCACCCAGCCATTAAATTCACCAGCGAGGAGCAGAAGGACAATAACATAGCTTTTCTGGATGTCCTACTCTTTAGAAGGATAGATGGTTCCATAAAGCGAAATATGTTTAGAAAGTGTACATGGACGGGTCAGTATACCCATTTCCAAAGCTTCACACCTCTGCAATATAAAATAAATTTGGTTAAGTGTCTCAACCACAGAATCAAGTTATTATGTTCTGAAGACAGTGTGGAGGACGAAATAGTTATACTAAAGATCACATTAAGTAATAATGGCTATCCTGATAATTTCGTCAAAAAATACCTCATAGAAAGTACTAAAAAAAGAAGAAATTGTGACACAGTCAGTGAAAAAACCCTATATGTGAGACTAGACTTTAAAGGGGACATATCGAGTGATATTTTAACACGTCGACTCAAAAGATCTGTCGAAAGGACGTTTCATGCCGCCAAGTTACACATAACTTTCTCGACTAAACCAGTACTCACACAACTAATCAAGGATAAGTTACCGAAGATGGGCTCCTCTATGTGTATACACCAATTCAACTGCTCCTGTGGAGCTAGTTACATAGGCCGTACTCAGAGGGCTTTATCCTTGCGTGTTCGTGAACATGTACCAGTATAGTTGGGAAAAGGAGTCACCAAATCGATTAACAGCACCATTCTTTCTCACTCGGTAGATACTGAACATCATATCAAAATAGGGGAAGCTTTCTCTGTTTTATATCAAGTTCCGAAATATCTATCTCAAGGAGCTAGATTACGACTGCTTTACATAGCCGAAGCCATTTGGATCAACTCCAGAAGACCTAATTTATGCATCCAGAAAAAATATAGTAATATTGATATATTACATGGAGGCCTGACTGATTGTTATTTCATTTAATTCATAAAATCAAATGATATTATGTTTAGAGGTGAGGTCAGTCAGTCAGTCACTGACTGACTGACTGTATGTACAAGATAACTCGAAGAATCAAGTAATTCCTGAACAACCACCTTCATTCAAACATGAAATTATATTTATTTACATTTTTGAAGTAGAATATTCAAATATTGAGAAGAAAATTAGTTGGTTTCATACTAATAAATAGAATTCATTGAAGGTTATTTAGAGACTGAATTATTCGAAAGGTGGAACAAAACTGTTTAAGGAATAAAAGTTTTTATACATTCTAGAAATTAGTTCATAATCAATTGTCCCAATAACCAGATCAACTCAAGCGGGTTTTTTTTCAATTTCCTATGTCAAGTAAGATCTAGATGATTCTTAATATAATCAAATCAAAGAGTCAGAAATTTTCATCATATTACATGTTAGCTGAGAGCTACTGCACTTGAAGTGAATACGATATCACGTAAAACCTGTGAATGGAACGACAGTCAGCAACAAAATAACAGGATAAGCTGAACTACTCCACTGCATCCAAACCGTGTTAACTAGAGGAAGAAGACCAGATTCAGCCCGGGGAAACATATATTTCACAAGCAGCTAGAAGCACGAAAGAACAGGAACACAACTCATGTACATATATACAATGCGAAGATGTCATTGGGAAACGCCACAAAATAGCGTATTAAAAGAGGAAATGAACTAATGACATTTAAGGTCCTTCCAAGTGGAGAACATTAACTGAAGATAAAAGTGGGTGCTTTAGGCACAAAAATGAGGAACTCAAATTTCTAAAATAAAATTTTAAAAATGAAACGTTTACCAAATGATTTCTGAGAATTTAGCATCTCCAAGATTGGAATGAAGGACATTTTTTTCCGTATGGATTTTAATGTTAAAATTACTCAAATAAACGATAAATTGGTCTAACACCTAACGAATAAATTTTGGCATAGATTCATTTTTCACAACTGATTGATCACTTGGTGGGGATCAATATCATGTATGTCGTCCTTCTTAGTGCAGATCGAATGCTATCGACCATGTTGCAATAGTGTCCACCAGTCTAGGTGACTCGACATAGCGTGCGCTATGTTGAGATTAGATGGTGGTTGGAGTTAGTCAACAGGAAATTCTGGACCCAGGTTTCATTCTACTTGTCACTCGTCAGTAGTGATCAATCAATTGTGATTACATCTCAGTCCTACAGAAGGTCGGTCGCGGCCCGGATAGCTCAGTGGTAACGCCTCTGACTGTGAAGCTGGGTGACACGGGATCGAAACCGCCAGAGAGTGCAAGTTCCCTCAAGATTACAGGTGCCAAGTAGCACGAAACCCGGATCCAGGGTTTCCTGTCGACTACCTCCGAGCATCACCTAATAGGTCCATTCTTATTTACTTAAAAAGGTACAATTTGAGCTATTTATTGAATATAGAAAATGTGTACAGCTTTCAAGCTATACTTGACTATTAAGATAGGTAAATCACCTTAAACATTTAGATACTATGAGATTTCAATTATAATAATCATTGCTCATTGTGACACTATATGACTCTAGTCAGAATCTCATAAAAAGCAATCTTATAATCAAGAATGCAGATTTATTATGCTAACAAGTATCAAACAAATACTAAACATCATACCAATTTAGACCTAAGCAAAAATGGATAATGGCTAGCAGTGAAATCCAGTTCGACACGTGTTTCGACCCATTTGGAATTCATCAGCTAGATGTACCTATATCACAGGTTTGAAGTTCACTTCGAGACTCGAACCCATTGCATAAATTAGTGGCTATCAAGATTCAGTAGCTAAGTGGATAACGCGATGGTGTTCGAAGCAAACGGTACTGGGTTCGAGTCCCAGAGTGAATATCAACTCTGAAATGTGGACACATCCAGTTGACGAGTCCAAAATAAGACAAAGTGTTGCGCATCCTGGATTCTACTGTTAGGCACTATCCATCTTTGCTTAGAATACTTGTGAATTAAGGCTATATCGAGGTAATACTCACAGTTTGCACATAAACCAATAAATGACTGATCAATTACAGTTCTAGATAACAATGGGAAGACTCAAGTAAACAATACCAATTTACATCAAAGCTTCAATAAATACATAAATATATATATATAATTAAAAAAGAAAAATTCAATAAACTAATTAAAATTACTTAATTATTCAGAAATTATATTTTTTAATTGTAAACATGGTATTAATATAAATTTTAGTATCAGAGGGGGTTTTGTAGATATTACAGTCATTTTTAATAGTTGGGATCATAAGTTAATTGAAGCTAAACCACCATGGAAAACCTAAAAGCACTGAATGGCCATTTTGTCCTATGGTGAGACTACTCAGCAGTGCACATTCACGATCCTACCTTGTGAAATTCAAACCCAAGACTTATCAGTCGCGCGTGCGAGCGCTTAACTATTAAACCACTGAGTTGCTGAAGAGTTCTACAATAAGACAAAACGACCATTCAGTGATATCAGGTTTTCTATGGTGGTCTAGCTTCAATTAACTACGATGAATAGAAAGACGTACAAAGAAGAAAAACACGAAAGCATAAAAAAAAATAAACAACAACAGTATTATAATAAGAGAATAATTTTGGTTAAACATAAACCCGGAAACAAAATTAACTAAAAAAAGAAATAGTTGTCAATGTATTAGATACCAAGAAATCAATAATAATAATAATAATAATAATAATAATAATAATAATAATAATAATATAGATTTATACTTAAATTCCATAGGGAAATTAAATAAGAATTTAGAAATAAACTAAATTAATCCAATTTATAATATGAAATGAAGGAGATAGAAAAAGAAAAAAAGAAAAAGGAAATGAGAGAGGGTCTATACAATTTCGGGTTAGCTATAGAGTTGCAAAATTAGAATTTGAAATGTACAGAAAGTAAGCTAATTGTTACTTACTTACTTACTTAAGCCTGTTACTCCCTATGGAGCATAAGCCGCCGACCAACATTCTCCAACTCACTCTGTCTTGTACCTTCCTTTCTAGTTATATCTAATTATTATGCATTCTTCTCATGTCTGTCTCCCTATCTCGGCATAATGTGTTCTTCTTTGGTCCTACTTTTCTGCTTTTGCCTTGAGGATTCCATGTGAGGGATTGCCTTGTGACTCAGTTGAGTGCTATCCTCAATATGTGTTCTATCCATTTCCAACGCTTCTTCCTCACTTCTTCTTCCACTGGCATCTGGTTTGTTCCCTCCCATAGTAGGTTGTTGCTGATAGTGTCTTATGAACGGATCCGAAGTATTTTGCGTAGGCAACTGTTAATAAACACCTGTATCTTCTAGATGATGGCTTTTGTAGTTCTCCAGGTTTCTGTCCCATACAGTAGAACAGTCTTGATTATTGTATTGAAAAGTCTGCCTTTTGTGTTGGTTGACCGTTGTTTTAACTTCCAAATTTTCTTCAGTTGTAAAAATGCTGCTCTTGCTTTCCCATCCACGCATAACATCTGCATCAAACACACCATACTCATTAATGATGCTGCCCAGATATGTAATGGTTTTTACATCTTCCAAATCTTCTTCATCAAGTGTGATTCGATTGTTGCATGCTGTGTTGTATCGGAGAATCTTGCTTCTCCCTTCGTGTATATTGAGATGTACTGTTGCTGGGGCTGCTGCTACACTTGTCATCTTGTGCATTTGTTGTTGCATGTGCAATAGAAGAGCCAGATCATCTGAGAAGTCTAGATCGTCCAGCTGCATCCTAGCTGTCCACTGTATCTCATGCTTCCCCTCAGATGTTGACGTCTTCGTGATCCATTCGATCTCCAGAAGGAAGGAAAAGGGTGAGAGTAAGCAACGTTGACTGATACCATTCTATGCCTTGAACGAGTTTGTCAACTGTCCAGCATGCACGACTTTTCAGTTTAATTCATCATAGGAACCTAATCATACTTCAATGCATATTTCTAAGTATTTCTTTAAAGCTCTATAATTTCACCAGTATTATAAAATAGGATAGAATGTAATTATGTAATCCGTTGTCAAATGATACACGAATCATGAATTTCAAAAAAAAGAAACTAAGAAATATTCTCATAAAATAAGAGAGTTATTTAAGTTTTGTTATGTTTGAAGAGATTATGAGTTGATCTAAATTGAGAATGGAACGAAAACTCTGTTAAATAATGACAGATAAGTTAGCTATTTCGAAGTCCTAGTTCAAAAAGAGGGGAATAGATTCCACAAGCAGTCAGAAGCATAAACAACAAAAACAACAAGCACAACTCAATTGTATATATATATATATATATAGCATAAAAATGTCCTTCGGAAGCGTTACAAAATAGCCGACTAAAAGATACAACGAACTAACAGCGTTTAAGATCCTCTCAAATGGGAAATATGATATGAAGGTCAAAAACAAATAAGCGCTTTTGGCGCGAAAGCAAGAAATTCAACTCCTTAAAATAGAATTACAAAAATGAGTTCTAGGAATCTAACATTCCTAACAGGTTTACTTTGTGAAGAATTAACATATATATTGTAATGAAATGAGAAATCTGATTTGATCCTATTTACGTGTACTATGATACATTAAAGAAAATTATTGTCATTTACAAATAGAATATAATGGTTTAAGAATTATTTTAGAAAATTATGAGACTATTAATTCATATTATAAATAAAAGGACTGATTATAATCAAATTTGGTTAATGATGATACAAAAACTAACTTATCAGCTAGTTTATCGGTATTTGTATCTATGAAAATTACAAACTGAAGTCTGGAATAATAGACATTAACCTAATGTTAATTATTGCATTGATTGTCAAAAGTAGCATCAGTCTCGTGATTTTCAAAGAATCTCGTCTTACACTCTCTGTGTTCGATCATCGTTGTCTCCGAAGGATTGCTGACATCCAGTGGCAACACCATGTTAGTAATGCAAAGGTTCGGCATCGTGTGTTCGGGTGCAGAGACGATAATTCAATTGGTGTCACCATCTTGAAACACCGACTTCGGTGGCTTGAACATGTTCTACGAATGTCGTCCCAGAGAATTCCACGTCTTGCATTATTTTCCGACTCTGGGACTGGTTGGAAGAAGCGGAGAGGTGGTCAGTGTATGACATGGTGTCGTGGTATGAAAGAAAGCTACAAAGGACTGGCTTGTGTTGGTTCCTCACAACTCCCTGGCTGGGGTGCGAGAGATGGTTCTACACAGTGGCTAGAGACGCTATCAGATATGGCTCAGAATAGAATCCAGTGGCGATCCTGGTGTACCCTTCTTTTCTTTCTTCGTAAAAAGTGGTTGTGTCTTCCTTAACTGAAAGATTTCTTCTCGTTGTACCTTTTCGTTCCCCCATTATTACTATTATTATTATTAAACTACCTTACACCAATCTGTTCGTTATTGTTCCCCCTTTTCTTTCATGCTCCTTACCTTTTTTTCCTTGTCTTTAAATTTTCATTGTGTTTGTGTGGCGCATACATATTTGGTGCCCTCTTGTACCAATATTTATGTGTTCAAATAATAATAATAATAATAAAAAACACCATGAGATATCACAACTCTACTAATAGAAGATACTTCAACCGTCAGAACAGAGTCTAATTGGTTTAAGTATCTTTTTCTGGTTAGTGTTTTCATTTATAGCAAGGTTCTTTTCTTCCGTATGGGATTGTGAACCACATATCTAATCATTCACTTTTATCTCACCAACCGATCCAAACTTGCTTCGAAACCTACTTTGAATGCCTTTAAATAATACCAGTTTTTAGCATATTAAAGAAGTTGTCAAATTTAGACTATATGATAAGGCACTATGAAATATAAATCCTTGAGCTGATGAATCATAAATACATTTAAATGAGAAACATTCATGATATAATTTAAGGGTTTTAATTTAAGTAAAACATCTTAACAGTTGAGATCATGAGTCAGTTGAAGCTAGACCACAATGGAAAACCTGGAACCACTGGATGGCCGTTTCATCCTATTGTGGAACTCCTCAGCAGTGCGCATCCACGACCCCGCCCCTTGCGAGATTCGAACTCAGGATCTATCGGTTTCGCACCAGGCGCTTAACCAACTAGACCACTGAGCCGGCATCCAATGGTGTTAATGTCTAACTTCAAATAATCCACGAAATTGAGCGATACATCCACCATTGTCATCAATGAGTTACTACCTTACAACTGACCCGGTTGACTCATGATCTCAACTGTTGAAATTACTACAATCTTCACAAAACCCCTTCTGATACTAAAATATCTTACTTCAATTGATCTAATAATTGTGTAACATCATTAAATTCATGATGTACTTCAGTTAATTTATTTTCAGTAGTATTAGTTATTGTAGTAGATGTTTTTCGATTGTCTACTGATTGATACATTTTACTTTCTTTATCATTTTCTCCTTCAATTATAATATCTTCATTTCTAGTCATTTCATTTTCTTTATTATCTGATTTTTCACCATCGGTTTCTTCTTTTTTCTCTTCCATTTGACCAGTATCAGCCAAATTATCAACAGCAATAGCCAAAAAGACATTGAGTAGTATATCTATTTACATATTATTACTGAGTTAAGGAAATTATATTGATAATTATACAGACTAGCCTTATAATCACACCTTCTTTGTAATAGTAATAATAATAAATAAAAACCTTACAGTTGTAAATGTTTTAAGTCTATGGTAATATAGCTGAAAAAAATGAAGAGATGGTGGAGTGAAGTGTTCACTTTTATCTGAAGTTTGTTCTGATGATGTCGTTCAAAAGAACGAGGAAAGCTCCATGATTAAACTATCCAGCTCAGAGAACTAAATTCCATCAAGAAAAGACAATTGTACTGAAATAGTTCAACTCACTTGTGTATTTTCATACACATAGTTCCCATTATCATTTTGAAAAGAGTAAGAACAAAGATTCTAGCAGTATAGCATGAATTCATTTTTATTTCGTAGGTTCTCGTCAGCTGCTTACAACCTGTGATATTTAAAAATCATAACTGCATAATGGATTTAAATTGCTTACTGAATATTGTAAATATATACCTAATATGAAAGAATATTCTACGACAGTTCAAAAGTCGGTTAGAAACAATTGATTACATAATGAATAAACATTGATAGGAATATAGTGAATAGAGCTCAGTTGAAAGATTATTACTTTGAAAGATATTTGAAAAAAAAATCTCAAGGTGCAGTGAAGGAATATTTGTCACCAGGGCAAAGAAAAATTAACCACCGTCTCCTTTTGAATACATAGGACAGGTTTTTGACGCCTGATGGCAATGGCTTCAGCAAACTACAGAAGACTGGAGTTTGGCTGCTTACAAATCACCCTAAAGGATTGTAATGTATCTACCTGATGTCCTGTTTCATAGAGATGTTTGATGATTGCACTGTTCATAGTCTTTCTTTCCTTTGTTCTAAGACTTTTTGGAACATGTTCAAAAAATCTAAGATATGCTCTCCTTTCAGTTCGGCCGATGTAGCTGCTTTGGCAGGTACACGTAAATTTATAAATACAATTGGCGGTAACATGAAAGGGTTGCTTGTCGATCTTTGATTGGGTTATTGAACATGTTGTTTTATAGAGAATTAAAAGTTTAGCAGCCGAATAAGTTCTGGCTAGAGCAGTGTTCAGTCAGCGGTTGATTATTCGTGCGACGTTATCACCTTTAAGATATATATATATACTGGCTTTTTATTGACCGTAGTTATTTCCGTCTTGTTTTCTTTGGGCTTTTTATATTTGTTAATAAACGTTTGTGGATAAAAGTTGTCTTTTAGACATTTTTCTACGTTCATTATTTCTTCTTCCAGTTTGTCGGTGGTACATATCTTTTCTACCCTGTAAAATAGTGTTTCAACCAATGCCTTCTTGTGACTAATTGGACAAAAACTATTGAAATTCAGGTAGAGGCCATTCCGATTACTTTTTCTATAAACTGAACGTTGGACTGTCCCGTCTCCCCTGAGTTTTATGGCAACATCAAGAAAGTGCAACATGTCGTTCTGTTCGTACTCCTTAGTGAAATGTATGTTAGTGTAAGTGTTATTGAAAAGTTTTAGCAGACGGATTGCATTCTGTTTATTGTTACAGATAATAAATGCATCGTCCATATATTTGGAGTATTTCGTTGTTTCACTAATTGCCTGCTTAACTACCATGTTTTCAAGATACCCAATATCATCATTTGTGTATATCAAAGAAGAATTAAAATTTGACTAAACTTTACAAAAAAACAAACAGTGTAGTCAAGTACATGTTTGTGTACTAAAAACTGCTCCCCCTTGTAGAAAATTTTTTTAAAATAAAAACTGTATTAGGTTAAATACCTATGAAATAATAAACATTATAAATGACACCATTTTTCTTTCCATTATACAAAAGCTTTTAATGAACAGACAGTTGAACACTTTGTATTTAAATGAATAGAATTTATGAATTAAGAACAAGTCAATACATAGTTTCATTGCTGTTAATTAATTCAGAGTCATCTCTTATTATTTATATTGAAAACTCATATTAATTAGATGTAGAATACAAATATATTTAACATTCATTAGTGTATAAATATCAAAGTAATGTGTTTTACTAAATTTCCTTTTGAATGATATTTGAAACGTTTACGAAACACCAACCACAAAGTACACTTAATATGTATTACGATGTTCTAAGCTACTTACACCTGTTACACTCAATGGAGCATAGGCCGCTGACTAACCTTCTCCAACTCACTCTGTCTTGTACCTTCCTTTCTAGTTATATCTAATTGTTATTCATTCTTCTCATGTCTGTCTCCATATATCGGCATAATGTGTTCTTCTTTGGTCTTCCACTTCTCCTTTGACCTTGAGGATTCCATGTGAGGGATTGCCTTGTGACTCAGGTGTGTGCTATCCTCAATGTGTGTTCTATCCATTTCCAACGCTTTTTCCTCACTTCTTCTTCCACTGGCATCTGGTTTGTTCCCTCCCATAGCAGGTTGTTGCTGATAGTGTCTGACCAACGGATCCGAAGTATTTTGCGTAGACAGCTGTTAATAAACACTTGTATGTTGTGGATGATAACTTTTGTAGTTCTCCAGGTTTCCGCCTCATTCAGCAGAACTGTCTTGACATTTGTATTGAAAACTCTGATGTTTTCCTTAAGATGACAATAATCTCTTAAACTTAATATCGTAACATAAACTAAAATACAATATCTTTTAAAGGTTTACTTTAATTAAATACATATTATGCATAGAAATCAATAATGAATATTATGTAATACCTAATAGTGAATTATTACAATCATTTCAAACTTTTTAAGCAAAGATGGTTAATGGTTAACAGTGGAATCCAGGACGTGCGTTTCGTCCTAATTGGGACTTGTCAACTGAATGTACCTGTATCTCAGAATTGGTGTTCACTCTGGGACTCGAACTCAGTACCATTCGCTTTAAACGCTATCTCATTCTTCAATTAACTACTGAGTCCTGATAGTAACTTGCTTATGCAATGGAGTAGAGCTTAAATTCAATTTGTGAATCATTTCAAAGTTATTATTGTAAAACATTTTACAGATAAATAAATAAGAAAAGGATACAATTTCCACATATAAAAAGTATAACATAATATAAACAGACCATAATACCAACACGACTATTTGAATATGAACGAATTCCATTGTACATAGCTTCATTCCAATCTTCACTAGTTAAAATCTAAGTTAAAAAAAAAACAAACAAACAAACAATAGAATCTAAGGAACCATTAAAAAAAATCAATTAATCTTAGTAACTAACAGGCATGAAAAGAAAATTTCAAAGAATTTGACAAAAGAAAAAACAAACAAAACAGTAAGATTATTCAAGAACGATGAGCAAACTGTTTAATGAATCGCGTTATCTTCAATTGAAGGTAAATATTAAATAATGAAGATGTAAATGAATTGAATTGATTTATTATACAGAATAATATAGATTGAAGAAAGATATTAATTATTCTTATTTAATTAACATAAGATCAACTAGGATTGGAATTTTATATTGACAAATGAGATTAAATTTTATTGTATTTCGTTACCTTAATTCATGGGTTCATTAGTGTAGTTAATTAAGAATGATTAGGGTTAAAAGTTGTTAATTAAAATTTAACATGGGGAACTCGAACCCAGAAATATGGATCTCGCGCTAACGCTCAATATCTAGACCATTAAACTGTCATCAAACTGTATTATTGTCGAACATTAGCTAATCTATAATATCGTGTGATTATGTTCCTACCGAAGAAAATGTAAGATGGATGCCAACTCAATCATGTAGATGTTAAACATTCGTATGAGACCGAAATTTCTCGATTCGAGCCATACATGTGGGATTGTTGTTGGTCAATGTTGAGGATTTACATATTAGGACGAAGCAGACGTCCAGTACTTCCGGTTTTTCAATGATGGTCTAATATTTATCTTTACCTGATTTCAATAAAATTCAAAAATCTCCACAATCACATACTCAAAATCTAAGAATTGATTCATTTATTAAAACGTTTCAGTATTTCTGAAAATGATATTTACAGACAATGAAAAATCTATTTCAGAATTAATCTAGTGCTTCCAGGTTTTCCATTGTGGTCTAGCTTCAATTAACTCATGATCTCAACTATTGAAATTACTGCAATATTCACTAAACCCCTTCTGATACCAATCAACATATGCTCACTTGTGACTGACTTGAAAAGGTATACCATGGAGTTCTAGTGGGAAGCAGTGACTAGTGGATTTCAACCGGGTCTGTTGTGAGATAGTAACTCACTGAAGACACTGGTGGATATGTCACTCAATTTTGCGGATTAGTTGAAATTAGAGATTAACACCATTGGATCCCGGCAGGTTCAGTGGTCTAGACGTTGAGCATTCGCTCGTCAAACTGATAGGTCCTGATTTCGAATCCCGAGAAGTGGGGTCATGAATGCGCACTGATGAGGAGTCCCACAACAGGACAAAACGGTCATCTAGTGTTTCCAGGTTTTCCATTGTGGCCGAGCTTCAATTAACTCATGATCTCAACCATTAAAGTTACTACAATCTCCATAAAACTCCTTCTGATATTCAAATATTATTTATCGATAAGGATAGAAACATTTTTTTAAAAAAAAAACAAAGATACTCACTTGAAAAACTGTTATAAGCGATTGATAAAAACTATCAAAATTTGATCTTGGCTTTTCTTCTCTTGGAAAATTAAATCTTCCACCGAATAATTGCATACCAAGTAAAGCAAATATGACAATGAATAAAAATAATAGAACTAATAAACTAACAATTGATTTTAAACTAGCTAATAATGAACCAACTAGATTACGTAAGCTACTCCAATATCTGTAAATGTAAAGTAAAAAAAAGAGGGAAGAAAAAACAAACAAACAGATAAATATCAGATGGGTTTTGTGGAGATTGTAGTAATTTCAATGGCTAAGATCATGAGTCAGTATATCAGTATATCCTGGAGTTCTAGTGAGAAGTAGTGACCAGTAAAGTTCAACCAGGTCTGTTATGAGGTAGTAACTCACTGAAGACAATGGTGAATGTGTCGCTCAATTTCGTGGATTAGTTGAAGTTAGACATTAACACCGTTAGATACCAGTCGGCTCAGTGGTCTAGTGGTTAAGTGCTCGCGCGCGAAACCAATAGGTCCTGGGTTCAAATCTCGCAGGGGGCGAGGTCGTGGATGCGCACTGCTGAGGACTTCCACAATAGGACGAAACGGCCGTCCAGTGTTTCTAGGTTTCCCATGGTGGTTTAGCTTCAACTGACTCATGATCTTAACCATTGAGACAAATAAATGTTGATTTGTGATGAGATATAAAGATATTGTATAAATTTATGTGGAAACCACATTCATAGAATTATGTATACTAGCTGTAATAATTAAGTAGTTAAATAGAATAAGATTAAATACAGCAACAACAAAAACAACTAAAGTGTAAAAGGGTACTTGATCAGAATTCACTTACATATCAAGGTAATAGTTTTTTCATGCATTTCATTCAAACAACTAAGGTAAATATGTATAAGTGTATTTCGAATAGTGTAACTTTCATAACTTTAACTGGTTACTTCAACTAAATTATAATATACTCAAGATGAAGGAATATTATAGTCATTAAAAGTAAATCTATGAAATTTGTCACTTTTGTTGAACCAGTGATCCTTAAGGCTACACAATCATGATTTGGATGAGTTGTAAGAGGAACTAGATAATCTACCAATTTTCAGGAAATATATGCATCTGCGCAAGAGACTGATAGGTCCTGATTTCGAATCTCGCGAAGCGGGGTCGTGGATGCGCACTGTTGAGGAGTATCACAATAGGACGAAACAGTCATCCAATGCTTGTAGGTCTTCCATGGTGATCTAGTATCAATTAACTCATGATCTCAACTATTGAAATTACTACAATCTCCACAAAGCCCCCTCTGGTATAATGTTTTTAATGAAATTATTCATATTACAAGGTAATTAATAGTTCAATATTCCATGATTTTGTATAAAACGTATGCATAAATCTCATCAATACTACATGTTGTTTAGTTTAGAGTCAAATTTTCATTTAAATGAGGTATAAAAAGCTTCACGAATTGAGGAAGGTAATCACTAGTTACTGATTTCTACTTAATCATAAAATCCAATATGATTAGTGTGAAAATAAAAAAATTCTGGCTTCAACTATGTACATATAAATGTAAATCACCAAATAGGAATAAGCATTAGTTCAGTGCTCTCTTTGATAGACCTGGTGAAACCAAACGAAATAATATGCTGTTTCAAGACCGAGCCGATCAAACTCATTCAAAAGCTAACATTATGGTTAAGAAATTGAATTTTGCCGGACCAAGTAGACTGCACTACATGTTCTGTCCGAATCAGTACGGTAACTTATAACTATCCATAAATTGTATATATTATCGATCAAATTTTGTTTTGTTTTTTTCTCTATAGATAGTTAATAATTGAAGAGGACTGCAGAAAACAATAATAGAAGGTTGCATAGTAAATTGAAAAACAACTTTTCTTTGGATCGACAGTGAACTATTTTTGTAACATAAGCTTTTCCGGCTGTATTAAGATTATAAAACTACAGTAGTGAAAAGGCTGACATTAAAACCCAATAGTTCAACTTCATGTCAAGTAATTTTAAAATCAGTTATCAATCAATTGATGTCAAAATTTGAACATAACAGTAAGAACAAGTATAGCGTTGTTGAAGTGATCCAGAAAATTGCTTGCAAAAGACAAGCAAACATCAGGAAACACTAAGAAGCGTTTCATCTAATCAGCGTTCACTTGAAGTTTTAGCCAGAAATATCAAGGAAGTGAAACGTCACATGCAGAGGCTCTGATTGGCTGATTGCTACACTGCTACTATGTGTAGTAGCATTCCAGAATGTTCGAGCAACCCTAGGACATTTAAAAATATTATAAAAACCCTATATTTTCTGTATTTAAATGAACTTTAGAGTAAAGTACTTCTCGCATACTTTGCGTCTTCTCTCTCGTTGTTGAGGTCGCTGTATAGTTCTAGCTTGGGGGTTACAGAATAGCTTAGGAAACGAATATAGCGTTCAATTTGCAAGACTTATCAAGCGTAAAGAAGCGAATATATTTCGTAGATTATCATCAGCTGCTTATAGCTTAAAAACGATAGTAATAATTAGTTATCAAGCAGTAGCACTGTACTATTGTTCATCATTTGCTTGATAGTGGATATGATGTTAGGATTTTAAAACCCTCGAAAATAAACGGTACCCGGACAATTTTCAAATTACTACGCTATATCAGTCTTGGGTGCTGTTAGAGGTATGAGGGCGGTTATCACTTCCCGGTTGCCCACACCGTGGAAGTATTGTTCTGGAGGTACCTGAAAAGGAAATTGGATTAAAGGTGGTCTTAGTGACCTGAGAGCGTGACCGCAGTGCCCAAGCGACAACTGCTTGAGGCCGGTCGCGCACGGCCTTTTCGTAGGAGGTTTTTGACGTGTTAGCTCCGTTCTTCAAAGGGCCTTACCGCCGGAGACGGAAATCCGTGAGGTAAGGTGAGGTGTGCATTTTTAGGGTCGACCTTTTCTAACCCCACCCCTCCTTGTGGGAAGGCAGCATCGCTGTCATGCTGGTTGTCTGAAGGAAACACCTTACTGCTGTCACACCTCTGTACAGTCAGCAGTACGACTTCGCCTTCGGACCTTGGGTTTGTTGCTTTTAGTCTTACCGCTCTTCAACCGACCTGTCTGACATGGTAGGACCTTGAGGAACGGTTGTTCCAGCCAGTATAGCTCGGTTGCTTCATCAAGGCCAGTATGATTAAAAAGTTGAAATCAAACTAACATATTCACAAAGATGAGATTGTAAATCACTCATTACCCTGAAAACTTATATTCTTCCATAATTTACTGACGTGATATCTTATTTCACATTCACAACATGAAATCTTATTCCCATTTTTGAGTCTTCTTGAGTTTCACTTCGCATACTGTGTGGTTACATTGAATTCTGCGGTTATTATCCGAATATTCATTTTTTTTAAAAGCGAATTTCAAGAATATTTTCTTCTAGAATTTTCACGATTTGGTAGCATAAAAATGTTTATTCATCTTACCACTTTATAATTCTCCCATACTTGTTGTCACTATTTGAACGTATCAACGGGAAAAACTGTGTTTCATGTCAGAATCCATTAACAAATGTTAATAAATGTAATTAGAAGTTCCCCGTGAAGGCACATTGCTAAATAGTCTCTTATTAGAATGAGTACCACCAGGTTCACAATTACAGTCTAGTAATGGTCGGTTCATGATCATTAAATTAAACAGAAAATACACGATTTGTTTGCATTGGGATCGAAATCTATGAAATATTAATTAAGCATATCCTTTAGAGAATAGAATAATTTTTTTCTGGTTAGAGTTTTTTTAGCGAGTTAGTTTTCTACGGGATGGGGTCAATAACCCCATGCCCAACCCTCCTCCTTTATCTGGGCTTGGGACCGGCAGTGGCCCCTGGAGGGACTCCAGGCGGAGTAGAAACCATTCATGATAATAATTAAATTAATCATCAAATTAATCCATATTTAAAAAAGAAAATATTCTTCATAATATGAATCTTACCTGGTCACTTTAAATACACGTAATAAACGAGCACAACGTAATACAGATACTCCTAATGGTGGCATCACTTTAGTTTGTATTAATACAACTTCTATAATACTACAGATAACCACAAAAAAATCGAATCGATTAAACATAAAATCAAAATAACATCGTATTCCTAAACTGTACATTTTAATTAACATTTCAATAGAAAAGAGGACAACAAATACAATATTGGCCATATCTAAAAACAAAAAAAAGAGAAGGGGGAGAGGGAGGGGAAAGGGGAGATAGAGGAGGGGATGGGGAAGAGAAAAACAACAAAAATATGTATATTTGTATAATCAACATTATAAACTATTCTTTATTGAATTGTACCGATAACAACAAAGCCAAATAAATACATCGTTATGAATAGAGGAGAAATAAAACAAAAACGAAAAAAAAAACAACCATAACTAAAATTTCTGTTGTCATTTGACATGGAAAAAAAGTTTTGTTGCTAACTAATTTTATTGATCCATGTAATGTTTGTTTTTTTTAAATTTATAAAAGTACCCTATTATAAAATTGGCATGATGTATAACAAGATGTTTCATAATGTATCAAGATATTATCTATAGTATTAAACATTCATAACGTAGTCTCAAAATTGGTTAATATCACTTTATTTGACTTCAATGTATAATATCTCGTTAAATTCGTATTTCAGTGGTCCAATTCTCTTAGTAATTCACTTGGAAATATTCAAAAGCTGGAATATCAGTTGATGGAATAGTGTATTATGAATCATGTACCCATGTAAGAGACCAAGGACATTGGGAAGCGAGTGAATAAGTAAAACATTTAAACATATATGCGTATATTATGAGTGTTAGTCAATTGTGGATGGGTCATTGATTGTCAGTGTTTATAACCAATGGGAGGATAGATAAAGTTGAGGTGAATACATACGTCCAATCATGTGTTAAATCTGACCATTTATCCAGAACACCACTCATGACATATTTGTAATAAAGATGTTAAGTAATACAGGACTTTATGCTTTTTAGATATTTCCTGGGTCTAAATCCAAATGTGAGAAGTCTAACTGACTTCAGTAGGTAATCGTTCTCAAGAATTAACATACACACTTTTCACTAATTAAATTCACAATAGATTTCCAAGGTTTTCAGACCTTTTCTAGTACTCTATTACTTTGTGTTTTGTTTCGGTAAACCATGTAATCGTTTTAATGTAAACGGCCATCATTGGTGTGGTTTGTCTTTACAATTTTGAAATTCAGTTGCTTAAACAAACAGTTCTATTATTTTTTTTATTTTTATTTGAATACATAGATATTGATACAAGGAGGCATCAAATACATATGCATCACACAAATCTCATTTGATATGTGTGAGGGATGTGATACTACCCGGGTGCCCAAACTGAAGCTACTGGAATGACTAAACCATTATACTAAACTTCGTGTTAACCATGATTTTAGGATACCAAACTTGTCCAAAATTAACGATAAGAGTAATCACTTGTATATGTCAACCTGGTTTCTATTAATCTTTTGGGATGTTTTTTTTTGAAAGTTTAGTATGATTAATATTGTGTTTGTCATAGATGGATCCCTCAGCCACTGTTAGAAATAAATTATCTTCATAATTACTGACGTTTAAGACCGCTTCATAAGACGTCTCACAGGTATAGTAGGGGGTTTATTGGTGTTTTGTATGTGGCTACATATAAGTCAAAAGTGATAAGCCAACTTCATTTGGGCTTATTTGACATAATCTCCTGGATATAGAGATGTCCCTCATTTCAATAATGATGTAAACTGTAAATAACAAGGAAATGGTCAGTAGGTCAAAGAAATATCCTTATATCATAAAAGCGAATGGGCCTCACGATGTTATGTTTTAATAAAGTGGGACAGCTATGTCATTTTGGATTGCTTTGAATACTCCAATGTCCGATTTTATGAAAGTAGACTTCGTGACTGTTGAATGAAATTCAAAATCACTCATTGACTGTATCTTTACAAGCTTTAAGTACCCTTTAAGTAATGTCAGTCATCGATTCCATCTAATCGTCCGTTATTCACATAAATTAACCGTAAACAGAAACTTTTGATTTAAAGTATTATTACAATAAAATAGCAATCATCGAATAACAATTTTATGTATATATGTCAAAAATTTACCTTGAAAATCGTCAAGCCAAGGCGGTTGTCCATAATGCTCTGAAGTGAGAACACCAGTATTTAAAAAAACAAGGACTATAACTATCCAGTAAAATGTCTGAGATTTAACAAGCCGACGACAAGAACGTCGGCAACGACGATTCCAACGCCGCGATCGCCTTCTAAAAGGAAAATTGATTTTCTTTATAAGTATAGGAGTGGTAGCATATAACATAGTTATACTAAGTTTTTCTTGATATAAAGCAAATAATATTCTCACTAATAAGAGCTAGACAAGCATGACATTGATCACCACCCAGTGATCAATCAATTGTGATTACATTTCAGTCCTACAGGAGGTTAGTCATGACTCGGATAGCTCAGTGGTAACGTCTCTGACTGTGAAGCTGAGTGACACGAGATTGAATCCGCCATGGAGCACCAGTTCCCTCAAGATCACAGGTACACCTTGCTGACGAGTGCGAAGTAGCACGAACCCCGGATCCAGGGTTTCCTGTTGACTACCTCCAACCACCATCTAATATTCTCACAATTTACATCACACATTTATCTTAGTTAGACAACCACTAAGACCCAACGTGTCCTTTCATAAATGATAGACAAATAATAAAGATTGTTAAAGCGAAAGGCTTTTTACATAATTTATCCAAACTATTTAGTTATATACAAACCTAAGAAATCTGTGTGTCATTGATGGGCGTTAAATTTAAAAGAAAACAACCGTACAAACAAAAGGACTGGGATTCTGAACACAGAAAATTGTATCACGTTCTATCATAAGAGAAAATCAATTATTATGGAGTGTGAAAATCAACAAGAACAATGTGAATATACTAAAAGTTGAATTCATCAGTTGGTCTAAGCTAGACAGTCATTGAAAATCTAGAAGCACTGAACAATCACTTCGTCCTATTACGGGACTCCTCAGAAGTGCGCATCCGCGATCCCAAGACCTACGGTCTCGCACATGAACAATTAACCATTAGACCACCGAACTAGCCAGCATCCAACGGTGTTAATGTCTAACTTCATTCGATCCATGATCTTGCAGAACCTAAGCCATGTGTTCAAATCACATGTGAGGGATCGTGAGTATGTACAGCTGAGGAGTTCCAAACTAGGACAAAATGGCTTTCCAGTGCTTCTGGGTTTTCAGTGGTGGTATAGCGTAGATCAACTGATCAATACAACTGTTAAAAATACTACAATCTCCATAAATCGCCAAAACTGATAAATATACTAAACTATCGAAATATACGACCACAAATTATCAAACTACAAGTTGACAAGTTTCTATTACTTATTCTAAAGTTCTCTAATTTATTCTTTCACATAAAAGCATCTTCCTAATTTATTATGAATAAATATGGCGAGACTATAATTTATGAATGAACCAATCATATTTAAGATGACAAGTCTGAAATTTTAGCGAGAAATTCATTTACTCAATTGTCTTAAATAGCGTCCTGGTATTTTAGTTAATATGCAGTTTGTGATGAAAAAACCATAAATCTAATTCTTATCCTCAACTATCAACTGTAAATCATAATTCTTACTTTTCATACTGTTTTATAACTATCATTTAACCCTAATAAATAAGTGGATAGTGGTTGGAGGTAGTCGACAAGAAACCCTGGATCCGGGGTTCGTGCTACTTCGCACTCGTCAGCGAGGTGTACCTGTGATCTTGAGGGAACTGGTGCTCCCTGGCGGATTCGATCTCGTGTCACCCAGCTTCACAGTCAGAGACGTTACCACTGAGCTATCCGAGTCATGACTAACCTCCTGTAGGACTGAAATGTAATCACAATTGATTGATCACCACCCAGTGATCGAATCCGCCATGGAGCACCAGTTCCCTTAAGATTACAGGTATACCTTGCTGACGAGTGCCAAATAGCACAAAACCCGAGTTCAGGGTTTCCTGTTGACTACCTCCAACTACCATCTAATCTGAATATACAATGCACGCAGTGTCGCTTCACCTAGACTGGTGGCCAAATTGCAACATGGTCGATAGCATTCGATCTGCACTAAATAAGGATTTGACACGCATGACATTGATCACCACCCAGTGATCAATCAATTGTGATTCTCAAAGTCACTTTAGTATCTCTCAAAGGTTGTACATAAATCATAATTTCATATAAAACTTATTTCTAAAAATTGTATTCTAATATATTGGCAATTTAAAAAGAATTTCTTGATTTGAAATATCAAGTTAATGTTATTAGTAAGTTAAATTTGTTTGTATAATTTACAACTGCATCTCTATGCTAATGTGGTGTGGCAACTCGAACTGATGTACGTACGTACGTACGAAGTTCTACGTTGTTACTGACTGACTGACTGAATACATTAGATATGATATTTTGTCAATTAATGCCATCACATTAAGATATAAGATAAGTGAAGTAATTTATATAAACTATAAATTATGTATCTGTCTAATAGGAATAATATACATGAAAGTTATATTATTTAATAGAGAATAGATAAAATGTATCCCTATTTAGCAGAATTCTGTATAAATTCTTTAGAAGCAAGGGAAATTACTAACATTGTTTTGACCAATCAGATCTTGTTGTAAAGCTCTTAAAAAATAATCTATAAAAAGACTACTTATTTTCTTTCTTTATTTTGGATTGGACAATTATTATATTTATTAGAAATTATAAGCATTGTTTTTCAATGTTTCTAGAATAATCAAGACAATTAATATGAATATTTTTGATTTCAATATATTATGAAAGCCTTCAAAGAACTATATTCTTTAGTATAGGGTTGTAGAGAATAATACATTTTAGATAAAGATCAAAAACTGATAGATGTTGGAGCAACATTGAAAACCTAGAAGCACTGGATGACCGTTTTGTTCTACTGTTGAGGACGAAACGGCTGTTTAGCACTTCCAGGTTTGCAACAGTAATCTAACATCAATCCATACATGCTCTCAATCGAAAACTCGATAATCTCCACAACCCTATACTGATAATTACCATGTGCTCATTAGTGACTAGCTTCGTGAAGCAATTCTCGGAGTTCTAGTGATAAGCCGTGACAAGTGAAGCTAATCCGTATTGGGTAGAGACAAATATTTACCTCAGTACAATGGAAGATGGTCGAGCAATTTCGTGGATTGATTGAGGTTAGACATTAACAACGTCGGATGTCGGCCAGCTCAGTGGTCTAGAGGTTAAACGTTCGCGCGCGCGACTGATGGGTTCCGCGTTCGAATCTCGCGAGGCGTGGCCGTGGATGAGCACTGCTGAGGAATCTCACAATAGGATGAAACGGCTGTCCAGTGCATTCAGGTCTTTAGTGGTGATCTAACATCAATCATCTCATGATCTCAATCAAAATGATATTTTTATATTTCCAGTTTCCTGTTCTTTTTATTCAGCTTTGTGAAGTAGATTCTTGGTCACTGGGAAGTTTTTAAAAAGTTATTTTCCAAAGTATCTCAAGTGTCAATCTTGTGTTTATTTTAACGATGACACAGAAAGTGACACTAATGTCTATCAAAACTGTTGAATTTACTGATACTTAAAAAGTGGTATAAAAACCGGTTGATATTTATAGACACCAAACACAATTGTAATATTAATTCTAATTACAACATATGGTATTCAATTTAAATAACTCACCCTTTCAATGGAATACAGAAAAAATACTGATGTTGTTGTGATGATGATTGACTACGATGTCCACCACCGCCATCATCCAGTCCATGTTCAGATGGATCTTCTTCTTCCTCTTCAAAGTCATCAGTAGCTGAAGATGAGGTGGTCCGACATGCAGCACACCAATGAAATTCTGTAAAAATAAATTTTTAAAAAATTAAAGGATATAAAACAATAATGACGTAATCAGTTGGCGTTCAAGAGTAATTTCCCTATTACAGCATCGGCATAGAAGTAATTAAAATTCACTAAATGACAGATTTCGATTTATAAGAAGACTATTCAGATGTAAACAAATTAAATTAGTTTAAGCATTAAGCTTAAAAACGCAAATTATTGTTAATATACAATACACCACTCAGTGAAATAACCGGTTGTTATTCACTCAATCGAATCAGCGAAACTAGCTACATTGTTCAAAACGATCCAGATAGACGTATGCTGTTTAGTTCCTTGACGGTTTACCTAAAAAAGGGTGTACTTGGAATAATTCATTACATAAATCCAGACCATTCCAACAACTTTAGTACTTTCATTATAAGACAATGATTGGAGAAAATAATCAGAAAATGATGTGTTTTTTTCTCATTTATAGTCAAGGTACTGGTTTATGAAACAAAAATAAAAAGAATAACCCTCTAAAGAATAGAAGTTACATCTTAGAGATACGTTTAATTCTTCATGGAGCCCCTCTGGGGGCCACTGCCAGTCCCATGCCCGAATAAAGGAGGAGGGTTGGGTATGTCTATTTTTTCAGAATTGTTAGCTAGTTATTTAACCATTAAATAGTTCAGATGAATGATTGGGAAGTGTTTACAGTGTTCATTAATCGTAACCCGGCTTTATTTAAAGCAATGTATACGAACCAAGATGAAAGTTCAGTAAATGAATTTTTTTCTGAACTCCATCCCAACACTTGACAAGCCAACGGAAGTAGGAGTAAAGTGATAGATATATTATGTGAACTAGTCTTCCATTCATGTCATATGAAAAAACGTCTAAGGAATTAATAAAGGTTTACGGAAGAATTTGTAAATATCTGCAGCTTAACAACGATCCTTTTGACCATAGGTCATGGAATAGCAAAATTTCTTGATGAACACAATATTTTACTCCTTGCTATATATGTGGTTGTCGAATTGGTTATTAACATACATATGTAAACCGATATAAATCAAGATGTTTAACGCTAAATAACGACATTAATACCTTATAGAAGACGCGATTTCTTATAAAGATACATTAACTAGAACTGATAGTAATTGTAATCATGTATGTGTTGACATAATTAACGTTTGAATTTACGAATAAGGAACAACTGAAGACAAACAACTCAGAAAAGTAGAAAACCGATGGGAATACCGGTCTGCCAAGCGTAGTTCTGAAATCATAGAATATGCTTGCGATTTTGATCCAATTGTCTTTTACTTGTAATCCTAGATTTTCGGTACATTCACTATTGAGTTTTTTTCAAAGAAAAAACTTTTTTTTCTCGATTTTGTACCTATGTGTTTCAATCACAACATAGACAGCTGTTGGGATATTCAGGGAAATATCCCAAAAATTATTCTGTTAAGTCTAACGCTATCCTTGGACTTGAAATGGTGTTGTTTTCTTATTGGTCAATATTTACTTCACGTGTCGTTTTCCTACTGGTCAGTATTGTACAATGTTATTTTTTATTTTATGGTACGATGTGGTTTGCTTGATTGTTATATAAACAGAGTGTGCTTGAAATATAACGATTCATATCTCCGAGGCTGAGACTTGCGTTCTGGACTCAACTGGCTGGGCTAGACAGGGAAGCGGGACCAATCAGAACCCTACGCCGTTCTTACGTGTTTGCGCGTCTTTGGTTCGATCGACAATTCGCTGTCCTCTAATCTGCTGTCACAGTTATAGCAACAGCAGACAACTGGCATTATTTCTCAAAAACTAAACATATATATTGGACGCTACGTACAAAGATGTTTGTAAGTAGTATGTAGAGGAACCTTGTGTGAAAGTTACAACAATTGTCGAACAGAGTGCATCTGTGTTTACATTCTCCAATCAGAATCAATCAATATTTGGAATAAATGTATCCAAAATCACTCTTGTACTTCACTTATTCTATTATGTAGTAATGCGATTTAAGTCAAAAAGTAAATACAAAGTAAAGTAGACTATATACTACATCAACATCATCATCCAATGATTATGAAGTTAGACCAATTGTGGGCACTGAGATAATTTTAACAATACACAGTGATCATCTAGTTTGAAAAGCACATAAACTTTTCTCTTATCTCTGTAAAAATCATGAACACTATTTACACTTTAAACTAAATTACTTTTTTCTTTTTCATCTTCTTTATTTGTAGTTTCTTCATCATCACTAATATCTTCAGCTGCACTAATCCAATCTAAATAACCTTGTACATCTTCTTCAAATTGCATCTGTTCTCTAGCTTTTTGATATTTACCACGTTTTTTAGCTTTTTCACGCTCTTTTGAAAATTCCCTAATTCAATGAAAAAGGAGAAAAGATAAAATAGATAAATACAAAATCAATATAAACTATTTCTATATGACAGTTATATTCGTCAAGTTTATATAAATATTTCAATAGTTGAAATCATCAGTCCATTGAAGCTAGACCACCATGAAAAACTTCAAAGCACTGGACGGCCATTCCGTCCTAGTATGGGAATCCTCAGCAGTGCGCATCCATGATCCCGCTCTCCGCGAGATTCGAACCCAGGACCTATCCGTCTCGCGAGTTCCATACTAGGACGAAACAGCTGTCCAGTGCTTCCGGGTTTTCTATGGTCGTCTAGCTTCAATTGACTCATGATTTCAACCAGTGAAATTTCTAAAAATCACCACAAAACCCCTTCTTATATAAATATCTCCATATTCAAATACTTTGTTTCATTAAATGAAATGAATATTGAAACTTTCAATCAAATATATTTCTATGACGTTTACAGCGGTTCTCTTGTACATGATAGTCAGTATCCTAATGAGTTAAAACAAACAATTAGATAGAAGTACATTAGGATATTTGACTATCAAGTTGATTTTCTTAACATAAACAAATCTGTGCATTATAAAACTTCCTGAAATCCATTTTTAAATATATTGACAACTATTTCATCGAAAGTAAAAGTTTATAAAGTAACGTATAAGACATCAGATATATGGAGATTACAGGTTTATTGAAAAAGTAAATCATGGAGATTGACAATTGTAGCTACCAAGAAACAGCCTTGGTTACAGACATTGGAAACTGTGTGTTTATAAATATTCTTAACAATCTAGGACTGGACTGTCATGAAATCCCAAAGTAATCATGAAAACTACTAGTTGGTGATCATGAATACAGATTGATTATCTATATAATTAGTGTTCGCTTGTATTTCAGAGGTCTTCGAAATTTCAGGTTATTTCCATCTATCCTAGTGGTATGAGGAACGCTATGTATGTTTTTCGCACACTGCTGAGGAGTCCTACAATAGGACGAAATGGCCATCCAGTGCTTCCGGGTTTTCAATGATAGTCTAACACCAATCGGTTCATGATCTCAACCTAAAACTATACTTGACTTTGGTACAATTTATTATGCCATATGACATTTCATGGATGTTATAGTTTGAAGTATATTAGCATTGAAAACGCAATTGAAGTAATAATGTTAATACAGTTCAACGTTTTTAGAACGAAGATACTTTAATTTTCATTCAAGAACTATACTGATCCATATCAATCACCTGACAAATATCCAAAGCGTACTTTTAAGTTTGTACCAGCTCCATACACACGTTTTAGATAGTAAACAAATAAACTTGCGATACTTTTAGGAATTAATGGATAGCGGCTATCAGTGAAATCCAGAACGAGAGTTTCGCTTTGTTTGAGAATTTTCGGCTGGGAGTTGCCGTAACCTATAGTTGGTGTTCATTCCGGAATCTGAACCCAGTACTACTTGCCATCAATCTTTACATAAAACTCCTTGTGATTTAGAGACAATATCGAGAAACAAAATGCAAATATACCAAAAAGAGACTGATCAATTCCGGCCATAGACATTAGTGAAAAGATTCAAATAACTAATACATATGAATTAAATTTTCAATATTCTCATGAATTGATAAGACCGATCGATGAAAACCGTTATGTGAACTTATCTGACCTCAGCATACATAAAATTGTAACTTTATTGTTTATATTGAATACAATAATATATGAGCAACAGTCACAATTTATCAGTGTACATTTCTTATGTATGAGTGGTTGCCCATATCTGTTTATCAATATTATCCCTGTCTATATGAACGATAAAAGTTTTGTCATGTAATGAAGTAAATGATTTGGCTCAAGCCATTTCTATATGTTATATAATTATATAATATACCCTTGTGGGCCAGGGTAATTTTACATAGGTTTTCAGGAGAACTAGATACCATCCGGACTTTCACGTGAAAACCCAAACAGTACAGCTCAACATCGTTTAGCAGGGGAACCAGACACCGTATAGGCTTTAACACTACAATCTGAATAGTACAGCTCAATCCTGTGGCGCAACCACACAGGTACCAAGCACCCTGGTGGACCACATTTCTATATGCATGGATAGTTATTGGATCTTATGACTGTATGAAATATGATTTTCAGATGCATTTCTTATTTGGCTCTTGAATAACACCGTTGCACAATGAAAATAGCTGAAGCATTATAAACTAAATGAAATGTGAGGTTTAACTTTCGTCTACATCAAATGGACTCAGAAGAAAGGCTACAAGATTCGAATTTTTTACATCAGTAAGCTACATTTCTACCATTGATTCTGTTCTAAGATATTTATCATTCAGAACGAATTTAATGGTAAACCCAAAGACCTGAATAACTAAGTAATTTTATTATTATTTTCCTGGAGGAGAGCAGAAAATTGTATATACAAGAAAGCTTTCCACATTTTCTGGGTATACCTCAAAGATCCATCTTTTTCTCTTTGTTCTCCTACTGACCATATCAAACATTTTATCCTGCTTGGTTTGAAATAAAAGATTTCATGAAATGTTTGGATAATAGTTCCTTTTTAAATGAACTTACTTTCAACTATTTTAAATGACAAGCTGCTAACTCTAGGATTAGACACCAAAAGACACTAAACACCCTGGTAGTGTTACTTGACTGATGATCTATCGATCATTCTGTCATAAGACATTAAATTAAATGTTGGTTATCTTGATATAAGCTTTTATTCTTATATATCATATTACCTTGTTAATGACAAAGGAGATTTTCCTCTAAACTTATGGTATAAAGAAACTATATGCTGACAATATCAGCAACCTCGATCTTGTGTTTTATTAATTCATGTATGCTATCTCCTCTCCTATGTTGTTCTTCAAGTTTGAAAAAACTCGCTTTTACACAACACAATGAAAGCTATTATCAAGCTGAAAGGTAAATCTACTTCACTCGGTGATGAGCAGGGTTGTGGAAATACAAATCTTGTACATAACTGACAAGTCACTCGCTTCATTTGCCATTTTCCCTTTTACATCTCACGACAGAACAATCCTGTTATATCCCGATGAGAATAATGAATGATAACTGCTGGAATATATTTCTGGACTAGTACTATACATATATTTCTATTGTATAATTGTTAAGTAATTAAACAATTCATATTTGTGTTCCTCTTACCATAAGCTTTATTTTGACCTATAGACTATTATTATATGACTTACCGTTCTTGAGTTATGTCTGGTCTATCAATTACTACCTCTCACATTAACAGTCACTTTTGGCTAAAGTTTGTACAAATGTTGTTTCCTATTTTATGGTACGATGTGGTCTGTCTGGTTGGTATATAAACCCAGTATGTTTGAAATAAATGATTCATATTGCAGAGGCTGAGATTGGCGTTCTGGACTTAACTGGCTGGGCTAGGCACGAAGCAGGACGGATAAGTACTCTAGACTGCCGCTCGTATTGGTTTTACGCGTCATTGGTCCGATCGATAATTCACTGTTCTTTAATTGGCGTTATCATTACAATATACATTAATAAGGACACAGGGCTCAAGTTACAACAAATCCACGTACACGAAACCAAATACAAGAGTTCTACCTACCTACCGAATATATCATTAAAGGTAAGGGAAAAGCTAAACAAAAACCTTTGCGACTAAATATACATACAGTAGTGATGAAAGTTGTGCTTTTAAATTATTTTGTAGATCTTTCATGTAAATCATCTTTACAATATCTCATTCTGAGTTAAAACCTTGTTCAATTGAATATATGAGAGTAAATAAAAAGATTTTTGTTATAATTGCCAGTATATGTTCGATTTCTGCGTGTGGGGTCGTGGATATGTACTACTAAGGAATTTCATACTAGCTGTCCAGTGCTTTCAGGTTTTCAATGATAGTCTGACCTGTTTCTATTCAGAATATGAAGATGATGAATAGAACATTGGAAAGTTAAAAGGCCAGTATTCGATAAAATTAGATTTCATGTGAATATTATGAGTATTATTTAGTTAAGATAGATGAATAAAGATAATTTGATTATATGGAAAGTAAGTAATACAAAGAAAGAAAAAGAGAAAATTAAGTCATCTAATTAATTCAAGTTTACCTATTTTAAATTTAAAGAAGAAAACTTCTAAGAAACAGGAAGTTGAATAAGTAAGAAGAAATTAACATCAAATAGCAATAATATATGGGAAATAAACTATTTCCATAACATACATGTAATTATGAACCCCAGATTATCTATATGTACTACTGATACATTTGATTGCTAATAATAATTAGTAGTATAGGGTTGTGGAGATTATTAAGTTTTTGATTGAGATTATGAACCGATTGGTGTTAGACCACTATTAAAGACCTGGAAGCACTGGAAGGCCGTTTCGTTCTACTATGGGGCTCCTCATCAGTGCGCATCCACGATCCCGCTCGCGGGATTCGAACCTAGGGCCTAATCCGTGTCAGGTAGAGACAGGTATCTACCTCAGTACAATGGAAGATGGTAGCGCAGTCTCGTGGAATGGTTGAGGTTAGACATTAACAACGTTAGATACCGGCCAGCTCAGTGGTCTAGAGGTTAAGAGTTCGTGCGTGCGAGACCGAAGGTCCTGGATTCGAATCTCGCGAGGCAGTATCGTGGATGCGCACTACTGAGGAGTCCCCTAGTAGGACGAAACGGCGGTCCAGTGCTTCCAGGTTTTTCATGGTGGTCTAGCTTCAATTGACTCATGAAATCAACTATTAAAATATTCTGAAGATGTCAAATTAGTGTGGTTGAGAAGATTTGTAGCTCAGGTGGATGATTTTCATGGAGTTTTGTTTGGAACTGTAGAACCTGAAGAGAATCTATTTTAAAAAACTATTCTTCGTTCATATATCAGTGTCTAGATATGATGGGGATTTGTAAATATATAAATATAAACAGGAAATACTTACCCACTCAAAACACCAAGTACTAGGTTCATAACAAAGAATGATCCGATAATGATCATACTGATAAAGTAAATCCATGGATATAACATCCCTTGTGAGTCATTAACCTAAATGTTCAGAAAGAAAATATCGGATGAGAAATATTAATTATTAATTTAATTAACGTGGAAATAATTCTCGTGATAAGTCGATCTTGAGGGAATTATGGTAACACATTCACATGCAACTTGACCCTATTTTTCAATTAGAATACCTAGTTTTACTGAAATTAACTTTTAAACACCCGGTCCAGCAGTCTGGAGGTTGAGCGATGGCGAGCAAGACTGTATATCCCGAGTTTAATCCCTGGTGAGGTTTTGGATATGCACCACTGTGTAGTTTCATTCTAAAGCGATACAACTATCTATTGCTTCCCTGTTTACAATGGATGTGTCTAACATAACACATGTCTCTATCACCTCAGTTGATAAAGATTCACTACCTCATATATCGATTTTCAATCGTTACCAAGTATCTCATCCTCAACCCAGGCATTACTTACTCGGTGGTCCCGAAATATATGGACTTTAATGGTCGAATACTGGTAATCCACGAATATCTTTTACTCTTAATGCCCATTTTTTACATCCATAAAGAAGAACAGAATGAACTAATGTGAAGTAAACTCGTCCTTTGGTTGGCGGATGGATGTATTAACTACACGACAAGCGGCCCAAGATAACAAAGTCAATCGAGTTAAACTAAATCGGGTAATTGGTATTGTCCAAAATAAAAATAAACTTCTTTTAAAAAAACTTATGCCTTACAATGTACAAACAATAAGTTATTCATAGAATAAAAGTTATAAAAGTGGGGATTTCCAACTATTTATTACAAATGGTGAACAGCTACTTGACTGTGAACAAATAATAAAACTCAACACCGTAAGGTTGTTCACGTATTCGATCAACTATAGACCTAAAAATATCTGTCTTAATTGTACTTAACAAAACAACTAATAATTAAAACAATAGTATTAAACGGTTATATGTTTAGAAAACTGTAAAATTCAGATTAAATAGCAAATCTTCTCTATATTGCATATCGAAGAAACGGACATCAGGGTTGGCAAGCATCACAAGTCCAAATTAACGCTAACAAGTAGACAACTAGCAACTCTACGATACGACATAAAATTCAAACAAGTCATTGGATTGACTCTAATCGTCAGGGGTGAATTCTAATGTTTGTAGAGACCCTGATAATATGAAAGACTAAACATCCGTAATGAACTAAGAAGAAAAAAGTTCTTTTTCATCTTCATCCACATAATTCAAAAGAGTGATATGTCGACTGTCGATTATTTCCATACTGCATAACATCTTCCTTTGATATTTTTTATTATCTATATGAACTTTTATTTAGTTTTCCTTAACAAGTAAGTATATGACTAAAATTAAAGATGTATTGAACAAATAAATCACATTTTAAGATCAACTCCATTTTTTCAATGCATGTTTCAAACAAAATAAAAACATCACCTGAATTAACTCAAGGCATCAATGCTTTAACATAGACATTCTAACACAAGTCAATAAAAGAAGCAGCTAGCAGTGAGAATCCATAACGCGTGTTTTGTCAGCTGAAGATACCGGAATCCTAGTTTTATTTATTTGTTTGAACACATAAATATTGGTAAAAAGGGGTACCAGATACATATGCGCCACACAAGTCACTTGATTTGTGTGTGGGCTGTGATACTGTCCGGGTGCCCAAACCGAAGGTGACCGCACCCATAGCCTTCGACCTAAAGTTCTGATCCAAAAACAGTGGAGAAACGTTAGTAGGTGTCTTCCCATGTTAGCCGATGACCAACAATTGGTTCATACGCCATTTTTTCCCTCTAGATACTGGAACTCATGTGCACCGTTGGTTTGGAATCAGGGTTTTTCAACTCCCCTTGATAGATCCTCAGTATCTAACATCCCGGTTACAGCGTCAGACATTTGCTTTCCGTCCTCTCAATTTCGTAAACAACAATAATGCTGAGAGAATGCAGTGAGTAGGACTTGACTAACAGTGGCTGTATACGTATGTCCATGTGAGAGGATTTCTACAGAGAGAGCTAGTTCTCCCCACCAGAATCCTAGAGTTAATGTTCATTCCGGGATTCAAATTTAGTACCATTCGCTTAAAAAGCCACTGAATTATGAACTTTACCACTAATTCCAGATAGCCATTCACTTGTTAAACGTGTATGAGTTTTAATTCAATTTAAACTGATTTGGATTGTTCATTGTTGATGTTTTTGACAGAAATTTGATCAGCTTAAGCTAATTACTTAAATATTTAGCAAAATGACTATCACTTTTAAAAGTTTAAAGCATTTAGTACCAGACAAAATTAAATCTAACACAAAGCTCTTAATGAAGAGTAAGAGAAAATTATGATTAAATATGAAATCATCAAGTAGACAGTTACTGTAGTAAACAACAAGACGAGGGGGTCTCCAAGAGGTATTTCCTGGAGTTCTACTGAGAAGCCGTGACCTGTGGAATTCAACCGGGTCTGTTTTGAGATAGTAACTCACTGAAGACAATGATGGACGGTGGCGCAATTTCATGGATTGGTTGAATTTAGACATTCACACCGTTGGATATCATCCAGTTGTCTAGAGGTCAAGAGTTCGCGCCCTCGAGATTGATAGAACCAGGGTTCAAATCTCGCGAGGCGGTATCGTGGATGCGCACTGTTGAGAAGTGCTATACTAGGATGAAACGGCCGTCTAGCGCTTTCATATTTTTCATGGTGGTCTAGCTTCAATTGACTCATGAATTCAACTATTAAATTATTTTGAAGATATCAAATTAGTGTGATGGAGAAGATTTGTAGCTCAGGTGGATGATTTTGATGGAGTTTTGTTTTCTAAGCCGCTTTACTTAAAAAAAATAGTCATAATCTCAAATATATGCTTAAATTGAAATCAGTGCAAATACGAAAGTATTTACAAGTAATTAACATTGTCCAACAAATCCAGTTACCAATGTATTTCATTAACATAATTCTAAAAACTACTATACCTTAGCCAGTACTGTAAGATGATTCTCCAGGTAATTGTCAGTGAAACAACAATCAATAAAAGTCAATCAGCTTAGATAAAAACACAATACCTCCAGAATACAAAAGAATAACTACATATAAATGGTAGTGATGAAATAAATAATTTTAAAAAATAAAATAAAATAAAACAACTAACCCAGTATAAAACTTGTGTCCAACCTTCCATAGTAATACATTGAAATACAGTTAGCATAGATAAACCAAAATTATCAAAATTAGTTATACCATAATTTGGTCCAACCCATCTTTCTGGTTGCGGTAAAGGTGGTGTAATATTTCCAGCTAAAATAGCTTCAGCTTGTTGTTTTCTTTCAGCAACAGCTGCATAACTCATATCCAATTTAAAATCATAACAAATTGTTGAACCTGTACACAATGCACCACGTTGATTTAAACTGCATGGTGATGGATTATCCTCTATTTCACCTTGAATTAAACAATAAGAATTTTTCTTAATTGATAATAAGGATAATAGGATTTAAGATACAGGTAATTTTTAGCACAGACTATGATTACCTACGTCTCAATTCAAGAGTACTGTATGTCCTTTGAATATACCATTCCTATACCGGTGTAACATCCGGTATGCATGTCTTATACAGCACTTCAATTTCAGTAAAATGTTAACCAAGTGCATAAACAGAAGGTATTCTAAATCAAGCAATAATAATGTTAATAGTACTAATAATCAGATGATATTATCTTTTTTGATTGAGATCATGAACCAATTGATGTTAGACCACCATTGGAAACCTGGAAGCACTGGACGACCGTTTTGTCCTATTGTGCGACCCCTCAGCAGTGCGCATCCTTGATCCCTCTCGCGGGATTGGGACCCAGGGCTTTCAGTCTTGCGTGCGAACGCTTAACCCACTGGACCACTGAGCCGGCATCCAGTGGTGTTAGTGTGCTCACTGGTGACCAGCTTTGTGAGGGAATTCTTAGAGAAGCCGTGACCAGTGGAGCTAATCCGTGTCGAATAGAAAAAGGTGTCTACCTCAGTACAATGGAAGATGGTCGCGCAATTTCGTGGATTGGTTGAGGTTAGACATTAACACCATTGGATGCCGGCCGGCTCAGTGGTCCAGTAGGTTAAGCGTTCGCGCGCAAGACTGAAGGCCCTGGGTTCGAATCTGGTGAGGAGAGACCGTGTATGCGCACTGCTGAGGAATTCCACAATAGAACGAAACGGCCATCCAGTGCTTTCAGGTTTCCAACGGTGGTCTAACATCACTTTGTTCATAATCTCAATCAAAAACCTAATAATCTCCACTACCCCTATACTGATATTATATTTCTCATTACTATCTTTTTTAAGCTTAAGTTGGATAAATTTAAGTAACATATAAAATGTAACCAATAATTACTAACCTGTTACAAAATCATAACATGTAGCATGTAATTTACCAGAAAATAGTTCTAGACCAACAATTGCATAAATAATTATTACAAAGATAACTAAAAGTGCAATATGTAAGAGTGGAACCATAGCACGCATTATAGAATTTAATACAACTTGTAAACCTATAAAAGAAATGAAAATATAATGTATTATAATCATTTGAAAAGTATGTAACGCATTTTTTTTATTTTTCAAATTTAAATTATTGGTAACTATGAGACAGGATAATAAGATTCGAACTATTGGAACTTCTACAATTATGAATAATATAAATAATAATAATAAAATGATCTGTTACTTATTAAGCCTCCAAATGCCCTGGTAAGGCCGAGAGTGGGGAGAGTCCGCTCTCCCTCTCCAAATGCTCTCTCTCACATGGCCACGCTTATATAGCCTCCGCCAGGGAATTCCTACTCACTACCTTCTCGTGGCGGGGGTGTTGTCTACGAAATTGAGAGGACGAAAACCGAATGTCCGGAGCTTTAACCGGATTCCAAACCAATGTTGCACATGGGCTGGCTCCAGGATACTGAGGGAACAAATGGCGTATGAACCAATTATTGGTCACTAGCTACCATGGGACTGCATCTCCTTACCATGCTCAACTGTCTTGTGGATCAGGTCGCAGGCTCGGGGAGTGGCCCCCTAGGAAAACCACCTGCTTTGGTTTGGGCACCCGGGAAGTATCACAGCCCTCACACATATCGAATGAGATTTGTGTGGCGCATATGTATTTGGTGCCTCCTTGTACCAATATTTATGTGGCAAAATAAATAAATAAATAAAATTGGTTCTAAATCAATAGGATGGATGGATGGATAGAAATCAAGATTGTTCGATTGCTTTTTGGAACGTTCTGTTTAATAATACATCTTGATTATCAAGATGTAAAAGCAGATTTGTTTCTAAGTGGTTGTTTATAAAGGGGGATATTTCATATTCGACCGATGGTTGGAGACCTTGAATGACATGACTCAAAATCGTTTACAATGGCGTAGGTGCCCTCACTTTTTGTGTCCTTCCAAATTCTAATCTTCTGAATTCCTCATATTCCTATTTTCCATTTCCAAATTTATTTCACTGGATTATACTCCTTGAATAACATCTTCAAACCCTATTCTTTCCGATAACTGCTTATACTTTTACTATTTCTACCACTATGAGATTTGAATTAAAAATTGTATCTCCGTGCTAATATAGTATGGCAACTCAAACTGATGTACGTATGTACGAAGTTCTACGTTGTTGCTGACTGACTGACAGTAATTATTCTCTTCAGTGCATTTATTCATTGAAGATATCAAACAAGAAACAAATTTCAGAATAGGGATTTGTGGAGATTATAGTAATTGTCATAGTTGAAATTATGTATCGATTTAAGCTGGAACACTAGGTTTTTAGTTATGATCTAGCTTAGATCAACTCATGAATTCAACTATAAAAATTAATACATATTTGTCCCAGAGATCACTCGTTAAAAAGGGAAGTGTGAAGTTAGTGAAATAAAACAGTTATAAAACGGAACAAATTTACCATACTCATATATAACCAAAAAAATAACTCTTGTCAATCAATAAAGTTCCGGAGTGAACATCAACTCTTGGATGCAGATACATCTAGCTGACGAGTCCCAAATAGGACGAAACGCATGTTTTGGATTCCACTACAAATCGCTATGCATCTTTGTTTAAAATACTTCATATTAGATACAAAAAGACAATTAATTTATGAACAGTATGCCCAAATCTCATTCCTTTTTTATTAAGATGTCTGTCAGTTATTTTGAACACTTCTAAAATATTTTTATTATTCAGCATTCTGTTTTATTGTTATGATTATAGTTAGTTTATTGCGTTAATCCCCAATTTCGTCCCAAGGCATGCCCTCACTCGGAATCCTCAAGGCCAAAGGAGAAGAGAAAGACCAAAGAACACATTACACCGAGAAATGGAGACATGTATGTAAAGAATAAACAACAATGAAAGGAAGACCCAGGACAGAGTGGGTTGGAGAATGTTGGCCGGCGGCCTATGCTTCATTAGGAGTAACAGGCGTTTGTGAGTAAGTAAATAATTGCATCAATCAATACAAATACAAATCAAAATATATTTTTATCGAGGATTGATTTTCTATATAAGTATTATAGGGTAAATAAGCAAGTTTTCAAAAGTTCTAACCATGAAGTCATTCAAATATTCCATCAGTTGTGTGTTTAGAAACAATTTGTACTTAAACTAAACATATCCGGCCCACAAATGCCCTGATACGGCCGAGAACGAGGAGTCCACTCTCCCTATCCAAATGCTCTCACATAGCCACACGTATATAGTCACTATCAAGGAGGTCCTACTCACTACCTTCTCGTCGCGGGGTGTTGTTTACGGAATTGAGAGGACGGAAAGCAAATGTCCAGAGATTTAACCGGGTTGGTGGACATGGAGGATTTACCTAGATGAGTTGGAAAACCCTGATTAGAAACCAATGGTGCACATGGGCTCCAGTATCCTGAGGGAACAAATGGCGTATGAACCAATCGTTGGTCATCGGCTACCATTGAACTGCATCTCCTTACGATGCTCCACTGCCTTGTGGATCAGACCTTCAGGTCGAAGGCTCTGGGTGTGGCCCCCTAAGAAAACCACCTCTTTCGGTTTGGGCACCTGAGCAGTATCACAGCCCTCACACCTATAAAATGAGATTTGTATGGCGCATATGTATTCGGTGCCCCCTTGTACCAATATCTATGTGTTAAAATAAATAAATAAATTTTTTTTAAAAACATATCCTAATAATAGAGATTTTAATTTTAGTCTCTACAGTTTTTTAGTTTATAATGTCTACCTTTCTTCTCATACAGATCTCTTAACATGTTAATATCTGATCAATCTGTTCGAAGTAGTCTGCAGGAGAATATTACATATTTCTGATACATTTTGTTTATTAAAAAGACTGATTGTCTCGAAATGTAAACATGTTGTACAGAATGATAAGTATGATACTAAAAATAAATAAATAAATAAAGATGTAAGCATTACATACTTGGTAAACCAGATACAAGACGAAGTGGTCTCAGCACTCTGAAAGCACGAAGTGCTTTAACATCTACACCAGATTGTTCAACCATTTGTTGAATAAGTGGTTGTAAAAGTCTGTACAAAAAAAGTTCAATTATTAGATTAGAACATAATTGGAAAATTATTTATCGCTTAATTTTTCATAATCAAAACTTTCATTTCTGACTGTAAGTGAATAAAACAATGTAACTCTATGGACTTAAATTATTAGATTCAAGCAATTATGGTTTCTTAAGCGTCAAAGTCAGTCAGTCAGTTACAACGTAAGACCAGGCGCAGATAAGGATCGGTCCAAGTAGCCACACCTCATTAGCACAGCAAGATAAACACCGGATTCATAGGAGTGGTTAAGTCAATAGTAGTAATATATAAAAGAAAGATATTAGTTCGTAGAAAGAAAGATATGAAGTGATTTTAATCTCTTAGTTTAAGGGAAGACAGCCATTGTATACACCTACACCATTGTGATCGATTCTGAGCCATGTCACCAAGAGTCTCCAACCATTGGTTACGATGGTCACGCGGACCCCAACCAAGTAGTCTGCTCAGACCGGAAGTTAGTGACTTCAAGCACTGATGCCATGTTTTCGTTTAGCCGCCCCTAACTTTCAATCATTCCCAACACTAGTCAGGATTGAGTGTCGTGGTAATTGGTGTTCAGGCATACGCAACATGTGGCCCAACCATCTCAGTCGATGAAGTTTCACAACCTCACCAACTGATTAACCATCATTACCTAATACCCTGCGTCTAACCTCACTATTACTTACCCGATAGTCCCAGCAGATGCCAGCAATATTTCTAAATCATCTGTAGTCAAATACTAGTAACTTACGAGTATCTTTGACTCTTAATGGCCACGTTTCGCAACCGTAAAGTAGAACAGATTGAACTGCCGCTCAGTACACTCGTCCCTTAATTGATAGACGGATATCTCGCCTTCGTCATAGGTGACGAAAGTTGGCAAAAGCCAAGCGAGCTTTTCGAATCCGTGCTGAGATTTCGTCAGACACCAACCCATTAGGGCTGATCAGACTCCCAAGATAAGTTAAGTTGTTGAGGTTTTCGATTACTTCACTTCCTATCCTTAGTTTAGGTGCTGACTCAAGCCAGCCCTGAAGCAATGACTTGAATTTAGAGGGGGGTAAGCTCATCCTAAACATCCCGTTATTGTTGCTCAGTGCTATCAAAAGACTCTGCATTTTATCAATAGGATTTCAACGGGTAACCGGTAACTCAAGTTTAACTACCGACTATTTATTCATATATATATATATATATATATATATATATATATTGAGACAAATAATACAAAAATTAGTACAAGTTAAAATGTATCACTTACTGAATACAACAAAAGTTGGTTTGAATCTGCACACATCAATAACTACTAACAGTAACAGCTTTTATCAGTCTAAGATTCTAATTAAAATAAAACGCTAGTGGTTGGCACGGAAAAATTTAGCGAAATCAATAAATTGTCAGTATAAGGTTGTGGGGATTATTAAGTTTTTGATTGAGATCATGAACTGATTGATGTTGGACCACCATTGAAAACCTGGGAGCACTGAATGGCCGTTTCGTCCTATTGTAGGACTTCTCGTGGATTGTTTGGAGTTAGAAATTAACACCACTGGATGTCGGCCAGCTCAATGTTTTAGAGGTTAAGCGTCCACGCACTAAACTGAAGACCCTTGTTTCGAATCCTGTGGGTGAGATCGTGGACGAAAAGGCCGTTCAGTGCTTTCAGGTTTTCCATGGTGGTCTAGCTTCAATTGACTCATGAATTCATTTATTAAATTACTACAATCTCCACAAAGCCCCCCTCTGAAAATAGTTATTTATTAGTTTAGTTAATCAGTTATATTTAATAAAAAACTGATTGTTGATTTTGAGCACATACAGTATTGATAACTCACTAAATGTTTTGAACTTACCCTAAGATAACTATAGTAAAGTCAAGTATATTCCATGCATTACGTAAGTATGCTCCTGGATGCATAACAAAACCAAAAGCTATAATCTTTAAAACACATTCCACAGTAAAGATAACAATAAATACATTTTCAATTTTTTCCTGAAAATTAAAAGAAAAAAATTTTAAAATATTTTCATTTAGGATGTAATATTTTGTTGGCATATGTGCATTCTATGCAGACTGTCTCGATATTACCTGAAGTCACAAGCTCTAAAATCAAAACGGATAGTGGCTAGCAATGGAATCTAGGACGCACATTTCGTCCTGGACATCAACTCTGAAATACAGGTACATTCAGTTGACGAGTCCCAAATAGGACGAAACGCGCATTCTTCATTCCACTACTAGCCACTATCCATCTTTGCTTATGAAGTTCATGTATTGTAACTCGAGTTTTGTCAGACTTGCTTATTCAGTCAATAGTTAAATTAGATTTATTTTCCTTGAAAAAGCTTGGATCAGATTGCCAGGCGAAACGTTGAATTTACTTCAAATTAATATACATTACACAACCATGAAAACAAAATAGCATTAAATAGCTTAGAACAAAAAATAAAAATGAGTGACGAGACTATAATTTATGGATAAACCAATAAGATATAAAATAAAACGTCTTGAATTTTGGCATGAAATTCATTCATCCATTTGGTTAAAGAGCGTTTTTTGGCATTTTAACTTATATCAGTTCGTAATGAAAAACCATAAATCGAATTCCTAACCCTTAACCGTCAACAGTAAATCTTATTACTAGTTTCTCATCATGGTTTATAACCCTCATTTGGTTCTAGTTAATATGTGGACATTCTCAAGATCAATTTAGCGTCTCTCAACGGTCGTCCATAGATTATAATCTCATCGCATACTGATACTACACATTAATCCCTTTTTCTTTTAATGGATTTCTACTTAATGAATACTTTAAGTAAACTATACATTTAATAAGACAAACTAAGTTCAAGTTTTAAATCAGAAAAGTAATATCAATTAAGAAACATCTTATATTTTATTTATAGATTATATTAGATAAAAAAGGTTTCTTCATAAAAATCTACAAAGCTGTTATGCCTGTTTCAACTAATTACAATAGACAAGACATACAACACGATGATCAATAATATCAGAAGGGGTTTTTTGTAGATTTTATAGTAATTCTAATAGTTGAGATCATGAATCAGTTAGAGCTAGACCACCATGGAAAACCTGGAAGCACTGGACGGGTTCAGTGGTCTAATGGTTAAGCGCTCGCACGTGAGACTAATAGGTCCTGGTTTCGAATCTCGTGAGATGGAATCGTGGATGCTTATTGTTGAGTAGTCCCACACTAGGACGAAACGGTCGTCCAGTGCTTTCAGGTTTTCCGTGATAGTCTAGCTTCAATTTACTCATGATCTCAACTATTAAAAAAATAGTCATTCTTTAGAAAAATTAGTCATTATAATTGTTTGTAATGACATCCTTTAAAATACAAACATATGTTTCAATAATCTATATAAACTCAAAGAATTGACAACAACAAAATTTTGGGATAATAAAATTAACATAAACACTTACCAATATGTGATTGAGAGTATTTGAATCCCCATCAGGGTATGGTGTTATAGCACCAAGTGCACAACAGTTAGCCATTATTGTAAGAAGAATAAGGTATTCAAATGGTCTATCAGGTTGAAATTAAGGTTACAAGCCGGATAATAGAAAAAAATTTCCTCTTGAAATCAATAAAACCAATAAATTTACAACATATGATAACTGATTTATTTATTAATGTAAAGCAGACAGTTGAAATATAGTCTTAACCACCACACTAGAGAGCTAAGAGATTGATGCCATAAAGTTTTAAGAACACTTCTAACATGAAAGCATCCAACTAATAACACAGCATAACATTAAACATTTCTAGGGTAACTACCAATCCCAGACCAGATAGTGGATGGTGATTGGGAATGGGGTTGGCAACTCCATACTGTAGAAAATTACAGTGTTTAAAAACGTTAATTAACAAAATCATTTAAACTCTGTTCTGGGAGTTGAAGAATCTTCATTTAGAGGAGTTATAACACTTCACGCTGAAAGCCAAGATTCTTCAGATGTCATGAGGCTGATGCCCCTTTCGACAACTAGATCAACAATTAATATATGTACATGGAATATCTGCTCAATGTGGGAGACCATTCAAGTAGCGGTCTAAATGAGAAGATACAACCTGAAGGTACTTTAAATAAGTGAAACCTATTAGGCTCAACCTGAACAGAAAATATTAACCCGAGAGAAGTGTCGTTGTACTCTAGTTGTGAATCGGCATGGCCGCCAGACTACAAGTAAGCTGACACGAGACACTGAAACCAAGCGTAAACACAGCTGCAAAGATGCTCCACATTCTCTTCAGAAAGATCTGGGAAGAAGAGAAATTATCAGAAGATTGGAAGAAGGGGGATACCTCATCAAGCTATTAGTTAGTGTGACAACTACACAGACACCACAATGCTATCACTGCCAGGCAAAGTTTTCAACTGACTGTCGCTGAACCGAATGAAAGATCCAGTAGACACCCAACAGTTTGGATTTCGCAAACATCGACCAAATCACAATACTTAGGATCATTGTTAAGCAAAAGATTGAATGAGATTCATCAGTACACATTAAATCCCTTGACTATGAGAAGGCACGAATAAAAGAACCTTTCATCCCGCACACAGAAACAGATGCTCATGAAGAAGACCATTGCAGTTGCAGCCTCTATAACAACAGACCACAACATTCACAAGGGAAGAGGCAAGGCCTTCAAACACAACACAACGAGCGCCAACCAAATCACTCTTGATGGAGAAGCTCTGGAAGGCGTGGAAACTTTGCGTAACTGGACAGCATCATTGATAAGCAAGGAGGGTGTAAATGAACGGATTGGCAAAGAAGAGGGGGAACTCCTGCAACTGAACAACATCTGGACACCTAAACAACTGTCACACAATATCAAAGTCAGAATTCTCGGCACCAACGTTAAAACATCTCACTTGTACGGTGAAGAGCTTTGAAAAAGCATAACTATCATCAAGACGTACAGGCATTTATAAACAGCTGTCCAAACTGTCTATACACCAGATCCGTTGGTCAGATGCCGTCAACAACAGCATGCCCTCATAGAGAGCAAACCAACTCACAGATGAGGAGGAAATTAGGAATATATAATGTATGTGGATATATAACACTACGGAAACCGAACTGCATTACAAGGCAACCCACAACTTTGAGTCTAAAAGGGAAGAAGAAAAGAGGCATGCCAATGTACACATCGCGCCGAGAATTCGGGTTACACATTGAAAGCATGAAAAACACTTCGCAAACACTAAGAAAGTGAGTCGGGAATAAGTTACGTTAGAAATCCCTAGTAGCTGGTCTACGTCTCACGACGAATAACAGGTGAAAATAATTAAATAAATAAAACTTATTAATTCCAAACTTTCAATCGTTGTATATTCATGTATTACTGAAAACGATAATGTTGATTTCAAAATTTTTCATACGGACACCCTCTTAAGATTGCTTTGCATATCGACACATTTCTTCCACTGGTAGCAACCATACATTCAAAATTATCACTTTCTCTGTAGTATTCAATCGGTTCCTCATCATCAGTTAGTTGAGGTAGATCAGGCTCACCTTTAGTTTAGAGGACATACAAAGTCGTCGTTCTGCATCAATCATTTAGGTAATATGGTTTAACTTTATCATATATGAAAGAGGCCTTCTCAAAATGTTTACCAACACTAATTAATCATGTACAAATATATTGTGTTGAGGGAAACCATATAACCACCCAATCTTCTTGTCCTAAACCATGAATAAACTGTGTGGGATCGTTTAGTCTCACCCTTTACTCACAACACCACTCATGTAATATTTATGACGAAACTGTCATGTATCACAGAACTTTGTACTCCATGTATATTTCCTAGGAACTATTTGCCTAACTGATTCCAGGAGTCAATGGTCTTGGCAATTATCATGCACACTTTGCAGTGCATAAGTTCACGACAGATATTCAGTAATGCTAATACAAAACGAAACCGTGGACGAGAAGTGGTAGTGGTGTGCTTTAGTGCAGCACATATTTCTCGAGCACTTGAAAGTAATCAAAACAATGCTCTGAGCAACTGTGTTTGGTTTGCACGACAATGCAACCAATTCATTGACAAACATGTGGACTTGTATTATATATGATAGCCTTCAGACGATATGAATTACAAATGACGGTTCATTTTGTTTGATATCTTAAACGTATCAACAAAAGTATGTTAATATCGAATGAAGGATAAGTAAATCAAAACGACTTAAATTTACGCAGCATACATCAAATCAGTGACGCATGTCAACAGAATGAATTGTTAGTTTCTGTGAAAAATCGGTTTCATCATCAGGATGAAGAAGAAAAATGTAAAGATCTCGCCTGATGCTGCCACAGGTTCAAACTAAGCATTACAACGTTAGTAAAAGTATACCAGTCTGACCTGTAAAAATGTAAGTGCTAACGTTTATGGAGTGCAAATCTGTTTTTTTGAAAATTATTTCAATCGAAACGTTTATATAAAGGATACTTCCATTCTCCAATTTTTATGCATACTTTTCTCAAAGAATTTCTAAGCGTTAGACAGAATAAAGTACGCTCTGGTCTCGTATTAGCGGCTTGTGCTCTAGCTCCAGCTCTCTTCTTGGCGGCAACAGACTGGGCAGCCAAAGTAAGAGCAGCTAAATTGAGAGGCTTTCCCTGTTGATTTGCGGCCGCCGCAGCTATGCCAGCTATTCCAGATAGTCCGGTTACACCAGTAGCGGTTGTGACACTGGTACGTGCATGAAGACCAGTACTTGGTAAAAGACTTTGATTCGGGACATGTGACTGTCGTTCACTCATAACGCTGGTTACTGCTGACGAATCTGCATAAAGTGGTCCATTGATATTATTTGCTAGTTTCTCTTCCTGTTCGTAATTATTAATATTTTTTAAGGTATAGTTCGAATTCGATCCTCTCGATTGGTTATTATATTGTCTTGTTAAAGGGTCAGACCTTAGAGATTCCGGCTGAAATCCATCAGGCGGAACGCTCTGTCCTATGTTCATATTTAGCCAGCTGTAAAGGTAGAAAAATAATTGGATCGTTCTATATTATAAATGTTACAATGCATGAAATGATTAGTAACTAATCGACCAATATAAACTGCTTTGCATATAATCAAGATGCACCTACAATAGTGGATTCCTTTGTTTATTAAGCTCTGACAAGCGCTCGGTCTTGCTATTAATCTGTTACCAAAGCAGACTTACAGAAATCGATTACAAATTTTTATTTAATCAACCTCTTTCTTCTTGTTCAGTTTTGATTTGAGCCAGCATGGACCCGTGTTTAGGTAAGGTTTAAACCAATGTAAACAGACTATGACTCAACAATGACAGTTGTCTTCACTGTAAAAGATCAAGCAATATATATTGGGCAATGATAACTCCTTATATGAACAACAAAGACATATGTGAATACATAGCAACAGACAAACTGTGTCAGTATTACACTTACAATTTAAAGTATCAAGCACTAATGATATGGAAAATCCAGAGTTTAAAATGACAGGCATATTCAAATGAACAATATATACGAGCATGCATTTGTTCATCAGCCACACATTGTGTTAGTAGAGTTATAAAAAATGGTTCTGATTTACAGAGGATCTAATACATTCAGACTCTTTCCACCATCAAGAAACTTGACAAAAACTTTAAATCATTCTTATATCCAAAATAATGGATAGATGTTTTTACTATTAAATTGCAGTCCAAAATATTTCATGTCACGACTGATCCTTACCTCAAAGGAATTCACCTCATAAAAAGCGAAAACATATACATATCCCATGGAGCTAAGTCTCCGTTTCAACACGAGAATATTTGAGTTGCCCCTGAATGGTAACATAATGTAAACTCGCTTTATGGATGCCAGAAGCGGCACACGATTAGACCTATGACGCTTCTGGCATCCAAAATGTGAGTTTACATTATGTTACTATTCAGGGGCAACTCAAATATTCTCGTGTTGAAACGTAGACCTGAATTAGGCATCAACAGGACATTTTATGTAGCCCAACTTGTCTTTATTGAAAAGGCAAGGCCTATGTTTCACCAAAGCCCCAAACAGCATGTAATCGGTTGTGTCACACCCCATTGTGTCCATCAATTAACATGTATGTGAGGAAACACGTACATAGGTAGGAGAGATCGTGATTTGCAATTAAGGACGGTGGAACACATACCAAAATAGCTGCAGAAACAAATGAATTTCAATGGCCAAATAAGATCACAGAATAAACAGACATCTTCTTCCAGTGCGAAACATTCGGCTGAGACTGGTCATAAGGTTGACATTAAGTCAGCCTTTGTAGTTTTGTACAAAATCCTTCAAAGACGTATACTAAGGTTTATTGAAGCCTTAGCTATACGGAAACTGAAATTTCCTCTATGTGTTCAAAAGCGATTTGTTCTTAACCTTAGCCTACCCTTGTAATACTGATTTATTATCCAGAATGGTTATCACATTGCTTTTATGTACTTTATTTTTTTTGTTACGGCTTACCTTTAATTTGTCTTGTTGACATTTCAGTCTTCACATAAAAATATCTTAACAAGTATGTTATGTATGATCAGATTTTTCAAAATATATTGCGCAAATGTATCATATAATTCTGTTAAACTTCGTCTTCTCATTGCATTATCGAAAAATACTATTCTCTTAACCCTTAGCATAATTATGAACGGTGGCTAAGCTCTTTATCAATACGCACATCAAATTATTGTGTAACTATAATACAAAAGGGACATAGATCTCTTGGGCCAAGTACAGAGACGGACAACAAAGTGAGGAACAAGACTAAAAAACAAATCTTACGAATATAAAGTCCGAGATTTAAGGTTATCCACTCTGGGCTGTACGACGTGATTTGATATTGGTACATGGTGCAATAAGTACGTCAAATCATAACAATACGAATATCATCAACCTTCAGATAATTGTACACTAAAGGGTAAAAATAGATATGGCATCTTTATCGCTGATAGTTGCGACCAGTGGGAAAGCTCTCCCAGACGAAATGGCCGTAGCCCCTCAGTGGATAGCTTCAAAAGCATACTTGACAAATACGTTCTCATGAACTACCATCTCCACCTGAACTAACTGTTTTGAATATATGTCTTGTAACTTGTCCGCTATTATCATTACCACGTCACTAACTTGTACGTATCCCACCTATTGTCGTTCTTCTTTTGTTTTCACATCTCGGTCTTCTCACATTGTCTGATTTACCAATTAATTAACTTGTTTATTCATCTCTTGATACAATCATCTTCTTTTGTGGCTCAACCGCATTCGAATTTTCTCTTTACAATTTTGTGCATTGTGATCAGCCAATTTACTGCCAGACAATATGGCAGCTACTGACGTTTAAAACCACAATGCCCTTGAACAAATGCATCCATGCATATGGCAACGTAAGCAAACCCGAAAACGACTAACAAATTAACCAGAACTAGTGCAATTAAGTAGCTAGACTATCGACCATTGAACATTACCAAGTATCTGGAACCATGACGAAACAACGAGAAGCGATTGCAAAGAAATCAATTAGTTTATAAGAGCTCGTGTTAAAGAAAATTTTTTTATTGCAGACAGTTGTCTGCAATAAACCTAGGTTAATCCGAACGAGCTACAAATCACACCACCAAGAAAACAACATAATTCCTAAAGCCCCACTTTACATGCTGGTCTTACATCGTTTTTAAAGTACACTTTTATTTAAGAACCTTTCTTTGCAATTGAAAAAGCTGACAACAATCTAAAAAAATCTCAAGATACAAAAATTACATGTTTATTTATTTACGAACATTCGAATTCTTATCCTACCGGCTGAGTGTAGAATAAATAAAGTTATGATGAAGCAGCTTCAAATATAAACAGTTCAATGACATTGTTATGCAATGAGTAATCCTATAGGATTAGAAACTTTATGTTCTTTCTAGATGTCATTTGATTGGCAAAAACATCGTATAAATATCGAAACAGAAACAAAATCACACAATATTTTCAAACATACTATTTAATCAACAAATAAAGACCATAATGAATAAATCAATAACTCATAAGGCAGTTTTATATGAACAAACATAAAATCCCCAAACAATAAAAATCTTTACTTACCAGTACCTATGTTGTTAACTCGAATAATTTATATGATCTACCCTTTTTAAGTTTAATACCTCAATCAATCAATATGATCATATAGCATCGGTCAGATGACAAATAAAACAACAACACATCTACATAGTCAATTTGAGCGCATCTGAAGATGAAAGAGTGAGTACATTTAGCAAACGAATCGTAGATTAAAAGAACAACTGTATGACATTCATGGAACAAGATGAATTTGGAGTAATCTATTCTTACTTTTACCTAGATGCTAAATTACTTCAAAAAGCGAAACTTTGGGATTATGTTGTTTTTTTTGGTGGTGTGATTTGTAGCTCGTTCGGATTAACCTAGGTTTATGGCAGACAACTGTCTGCAATAAAAAAATTTTCTTGAACACGAGCCCTTATAAACTGATTGATTTCTTTACAATCGCTTCTCGTTGTTTCGTCATGGTTCCAGATACTTGGTAATGTTCAATGGGTGATAGTCCAGTCACTCAACAGACTAATTCTAACCAGTGTTGTAATTACTTATGGATTTGTACATCATGCAGTTTAAGTGAGCACGGTTGCCTCGGGGTAGTATGGATCCTGGATGCCAGCAAATATCACATTTCTGATAGTTGATTGGTCGCAATGTGAAAATAATAAAGTGATCATTCAAATTCTGATAGAAGACGATTTTTCAAGAATAACAAATAGGTTAAGTAATTGGTGATTTGTATAGGGATGGAATTGAAGGAATAAAACGGGGAACAAAGATAGCAATAAGAGACACATAAATTGGTTACCGATATACGGTAATGATAGTTGTGATAATTTCTGAAACATTCATCAGGTTCAGCTGAGCCAACAGGAGGATGGCTATGCATGTGTATGTTCTTGTCAAGTCCTCTCCTAAAGCTGTCTTCTGAGGAGTTGTGATCACTTCGGCTCAGAGTGCATGACAGATGGGACTAGGTCGTAGTGATAGCGTACTTGGGTGTTTGCTCTTTGATGTGCAGTTTCTCAGGGGTTGTCTTGAGGAGCGTGGTGATGAGATTCGGGTATTATGCTCATGCTGGGGTGGCTTGACGAACTTTAAAGTGTGACCGTGAGTACGACTTAAACGGTTTTAGGAACAACTGTGAAGTGGTTGGGCCAAGTTGTCATCACATGACGTGGGAAGATCTGTTTGCCGTGGTTGTGTAGAATTATGGTCTACTATGATATTAGTACTGCTCTAATAATAGACCTAATCCTAAATTTGTAGATTTGTCATGATATAACTGCCTAATCTATAAGATCTTACGTGGAAGTCACACCATCGACTACACCAACTCACTGTATCGTATCAATTACCAATACATGATGTAGAACAAGGTTAGGCTAGAGAAAGAACAATATATTTAATATGAATAGAAGATATAAAGTAACATTGAGATGGACCACGCCTGCATGGACGAGCCATGCCATCCGATCAAACCCAGTCCATTCAATTCCTTCTCTGCGCCTTCTCCATTGTTAGGTATTTCCCCGAGTTAAATATTGAATATCTATTTTCTGAGTAGTCTCGTGTTCACAGCTTTGTGGATTGTGTGGCTGTTGTCCAATGCCACTACAGTTGCACCCTTTGTCTGTATAGTGTGAGCTGTTGTCTAATCTCTCTGCAGTTGAAAGCCCGAGATCACTCTCTGAGAAGACAATGGGGAGAGAATTTCATGGAGGGTGTAATTGGTTTGTGTCGAATGAGGCAAAAGGTTCATGACACAATGTTTCGGTGGGCTATGTATTGACTGACTGTCTACTCCCCATTCCTCTATCGTTGTAATATCTTTCTGAGGCTCAAGTGAATTTGTAGAATCATGATCACGTTCTGCATTAGTACATTTATCTTTGTTAGTATAACAACA